ATCAGACATACTGTTTCATATTATTCGTCCGATTTATTTCAAACTTTCGCCATTCTGTTTCTCTTTTTTTCTTCCGCTTTCGTCGTACAAACAAATGAAGTTATTACAAACGTTGGATTGTCATTTGAGTTGATAACTCCGTCAATTCAATTCAATTCAATTCAATTCAATTAACTCGATTCAAATTTAATTCAATTCAACTCAATTTGCTTCAATTCAATTAACATTGGACCCCCCAATATCAAAGAAAAATATACCTTTTGGCTTTATCATCAATCACGTTTCTTATTCTATGTTTCTTGGTATACGTATATGGGTCATGAAATGAGCAAGAAACTGTGCAGTATTATTGAGAGTGAACACAGGAGGTAATAACAGCTAGTTCCTGTTAATTCCCAGGGTAAGTAGAAGGTAAAAGACAGGTTATGATTACCAAAACAATGAATAATAATTTGGATTTGCCTAATAGTTGTAAAGAAAACAATTGATTATTCAGATGTTTTTATTTGAATGTGCTAGCAATCTCCATCCTCCTATTAAAGTCACGTGCTTATATCCCCTCCAGACTTCAATTTCAATGTCACTTTTGACCTTTGACATCGTAGAAATGTCAGACTTTCATGACCATTGTCTCGAAATGTATTACCCTAGCTCTTCCGAAATCCAAACCTCGATCAACCCCCTTCCCAAATCCAAAAAAAAAACTCAGAATAACAATAAGGTTGGTGAACCTGTGACGTCAGAGCATATTTTGAAGAACTTTTCTTTCATCCACATCCAATTGGCATTAACAATTCTAATTCTGTCAGATGTTATTAAATCAACGAAAATTAAACCCAACGATATGCCCGCTTGTTATGAGCCGGGTTCATGTGATTTTTCCTCTTATAATGCAAAGTGTATCGACTGAACTGTAGCGCATCCAAGGTACTCCGAGTCTGTTCTTCAATTTAAGAAAATTCGAAGCCATCTTGAAAGGGTTGGTTGTAATGAATAAAAATGACTTGAAACACGGGCTAATCTGGTGTAATTGGACAAGCAGGGAAGAGTCATTACCCGTAAACAAGGAAGAATATTTCGAAATGAAAGAAGTATATCAACTCTTGAAAGATGCCGCTCAAATTTTGCGGGAATATAGCTTTTTATATGCCTGTTGATATAGACGTAGAGGTCAATATTCCAAAATTTGGTTCGAGTACGTGGCTAACGTAAAGACGAAAACGCAATATCCAATTTGAATACATCTTTCTGGCTTTCGTTTAATCTATTGTCCCTCATTGCTTTCCGAGAAGTTGTTAGTATACAACTCTATAATCGTTTGCATCGTTGTAGTATAAGACAAATCTTCTTATTGTTGTTATTTTGTTTAACATGTAGTTTGGACAAAAAGATAATGTTTATGCTTCTGTTATTATTTTAATTTATACTACTTCAAAGCATAATAATTTGATACACATGTTAGAAGGAAAACAAATGAAATGAAGCTCTGAGTTTATAAGTAACGTGAAAGAATCACTCTTCATATTAATTTTTGCACCTTTCACTAACATGATAAAGGTAGACCATCTTTCATTTTGGACTGTGATATAAAATTAGTCTTAACCTGGTCGACGCAGCGTAATTACCATAAACCAAGCAGCCGAGACTAAACTGACTCTTAGTTCCATGCATAAACTAAAGACCGGGTAAATATACAAGAAAAAGCTGCAATATTTCCTTTGAAATCATACAGAATTTACTAAGGTTAAAAATATCATATTCATGTATTGTTTAAGTATGTTTTCATAGTATTTTAGTAATATTGAAAAGATTTTATGTAGAATTTAACTAGACCTATTTTCGTTTCTTACATTATCTGTTCTCATATTTTCATTTTCTTTGTGGCGTTTATTATGAAATATATGGTATCTTCCCATTTTCTCCCGAACCCCCCCCCCCTTTCTCTCTCTTTCTTCTCCCTCTTTTTCTCCTTCTCTCTCTCTCTCTCTTTCTTCTCTCGCGCTCTCTCTCTCTGTGATCCTGTCTCTTAATCCACACATTACCTACCTTTGTATCTTCCTTCTCATATCTTTCTCTCTCCACTATCCTTCATAATATTCCTTCATAAACTAAACATAGAAACACAATCATGTTTCACGAAATATACAAATTTCTGTTTTATTATCATAATCTTCTCTTGAATATGACAGTCTATAGCGTTGATCATAAATCTCTTTTCATATCAATTCACATTATACGAGATCAAAGTCTATCACAATCAACCATTGGATACAAAATGGCGGCATCGGTGAGTGATCACAAAGAATACAGACAAGCTTGTAAAACATCAAATCGTTACAAATGAGGAGCTCGGTTGATAATCAGAAAAGAACCACAACAAAACCTGAGCCCGAGATCGACAAGAATAATCACTATATACGTGTAATATTGGTGTAGAACGTCATCATGCGCTTTGTCTGTTTTCAACGTTAGTTTGACAAACAGAGCACAAATATATATTGCTATGGTATGATTCCTGGGGGACTGTTTACAAAGAACGTATAAATATTTGGGTCATGATTCACAAACACATAATAACAAATAAACACATCACATCATGATGGTAATTAATACAACTTTATGGCAACATTATTATCAAAATATTATTTGTCATTAAATGCTGACTTAGCAATAACATTATACACAATTTTATTTGCTATTATAGTTCCCTTGTGTGTCGCTAAATTTCTGTTGAAATAGGAGCAGATACACACCCCTTGAAAGGTCGAAGTTAAGTATTAGTATTTGACCTATACACTCTGCTTATTAAACAGTTATAAAACAAGTCAAAATCAGTGACTTTGATGTTTAGTTACATCGTACTGTTGTTAATTACAATGTATTACACTGTAAAAGTGTGGTCTAAGAAACAGCCCAAGTCAATATGAGGTGTAGTCATGACTTGTGTCCGAAAATTTGGGGGCAATATTATACGCCCAACTTGGATGTTTCTGGCTCATTTTGGAGTAAAGGAGATCTATAGGAAAAACACTACTATAGTCGAACTTTAAATTATTCAAAAGCTTTAAAAACAAAACAAAAATTAATAGAGGGATAAACAGGTGTTTAAAAAAAAATACGAATTTCATCTCGTCCTCTTGCACTCTGCAAACCAATACGCAAATGTGCCCAAATGTAGGATAGAAGAAACATGCATGTTTTATTAAAGTGTGGTAACCATGGTAACTGCGCTTAAAGTCAGCCGGGTGAGAGGGGAGAGTGGTTGGTTCTTCTCTCGTACACTGATGAGTTACAATAACATAAGAGTTGCCAAAATTAAGATATAATCAAATGATCAACGGAAACAATTATGGGTAATGACAAGACCCAAGTAGCCTCCCAAACTGATCACGATCGCCTGGATGAAAGTATAGGGAGAAAAGAGAAGAGAAGAGAGAGAGAGAGAGAGAGAGAGAGAGAGAGAGAAAGAGAGAGGGGAGGAGAGAGTGAAAGATTGATATGGGAGAGAGAGAGAGAGAGAAGGAAAAAAGTGATGCAAAAGAGAGAAAAGAAGGGGTGGCGAGAATGGAGAGGAGGGAAGAGAGGTGGACAAGGGAGCGGGGAAGATAGAGATAGATGATGGAAAATGAATAGGAAGAGAAATGAGTGATTGATTGAGCGTGGGGAAGAGAGAGAGAGAGAGAGAGAGAGGGAGAGAGAGAGGAAGGAAGAGGAAGGAAGGGAGAGAGAGAGAGGGAGAGAGAGAGAGAGAGAGATGTGATGGGATGTTGTGGTAGGGGTAATCTGTACTTTATTTTAGGATGTGGTGACGTACTGGTGCTGATGCACTTTTTGAATCAAATTCCCTGATCATCGTTTTATAAGAGTGGCGCCTATCTTACACTACTTTGTCGTACAAAAACATGATGTCATATCATACTCTCCACGTCTGCTTCTGCAGCTAAACAACACAGCAATACATATGCCTACGTCGACATGAAATAATACATGTACATCAAAGCCTGAAAATGTCTGATCGTTTTTATGTCTTTGCAGTGATCATAATCTATAAACGCTCGTTTTTATAGAATCCCGTCCCAGATATTTGGTTTTTGTCATAATTTGTTTTCCACCATTATGTCGTTTACGTGAGGTCAAAACATGTAATGTTATAAACGATATTTCCATCATTTTAATTCCTAAAGCTATAAAAAATGATGGGGTATGCAAACATTAGAGTTATTGTAAAACCGTATGACGAACAAAGATCATTATCAAAACTGGAATGGGGCTGTTTCTAGGTCTTTAACCATTAAAATATCATGACCATGATAACTGTTCGAACTTGCACTTTTGGATGTCATAAAACTGTTCTGAATGCCAGCGGTAAATTAAGGGGTGAACGAAGAAGACAACGGAGGGGGGGGGGGGGGTGCAGTGGGCCTAAGTTAAAGATAGAGTTGAGTAAATCAAATTCTTAGTCATGCGATTGTCTTGCGAAATAAGAAAGGTTTATTTTTTATGTAGAATATAGGAATAATCATATATTGTGAGCCTTTGGAATCATCAAAATGATCAGAAATAGACTCAACCGGGCTAAAGCCGCTAAATACAACATACAATGCCAGATACCGCAAAGAAATGTGTTTATAGGACTACACACATACATATGACATTGGAATTTGGTCAAAAGTTTTACGCTATTTCAAAATATGATGAGATTTCAAGAGCAGTAGTTTTCACATGACATTGCTAAATGACAATCTTTCACATAAGAATTAAAAAAATAATGCAAAAGCTGAATAATTATTTTTCACATTTGTAAGAACTCGATCTTCTCTTTAAAACCGAAATCTGAAAACCACATTGGGAGTGTCATTATAACAAGCCATAAAGGAATAATGAAAAATATGGCTATCAACTTTTTTCAGGTTGTCCTCGAAATTTAAACGGTGATTGAGACACGGCTTCACACATCAATCCCTTAATTACTGACAAAAAAATAAATGGACACAATTACAAACAGTTAGCTTTGTTGTGATATTTAAGCATGTATTGTGAATGGAATGCCAGCATTGTGAGATAAATTACATTGGTTTGATGATTACTTTATCAAAGGTCAACACAAACTAAATACATAAAATAAATACATGTATCGTTTGCAACAAAAAACAAGATCAGAGTAGTTATCACTTGTATAATGTATACATGTATTTTGAATTCTCATGTCATCTATAACGAGCCAATTTAAAAAACAACAAGGTATCATGTCATGGCAACAAATATCTGTCATTTGGTTCATTTCACTTCAAGTAACCACATGTATTGTATTATTCTGTAAAAGTATGTTTGACATTCGAGAAACACAGTTTTCAACCGTTAATAACAATGAGCAAAAATAAGATAATTTCCTGGCACCAGCTCAAGCAAAATGTAATTGGATTAGGTTTAAAACAAGTCCATATTAATGTGGATTTAAAAAATTCAAATGCATTTCCAAGTCAAAATCAAACTCGAAATATTGATTCAGTCACATAAGGCTTAATAGTTGCTTTTTGTGCACAGTGATACTGCATGCAGTCGCAGACCTGTTAAGCGGCACCTTATACTGTGTGCAATATAGTACAGTGTGTCGGTCGACCCAATATGCATTTGAATGCAGGGGCGGCTTTTGTGCAAGAAATGACTTCTAAATCGGTTTTTTCATTTAACCTTGTCATTTCTGCCAGTCGGGGCAATAAAGAAGAATCGAAGCTTGATAAATGCATTCGAGAAAATGGCTGTTCAAAGGGGCTTGTTCCAAAGGGCGAGCAATTACACTGCGATAGAGGTTCTGACAAAGGTGAAATAAAGATAAGGATGTGTTTGCATTGTTTTGGATGACTAGATTATGTAGCCAACGTTTAAAAACAAGCACTTGTAAATCGTCACAAAGAGCGTGATAAAACAGTGAAAAAAACCGTATCAACAAGCAAATGTAGCGCACACCAGTACAAACATAAATACATGTACATGACAAATAATTTTCGAGACTAAACCATGACGGCTGCTCGTTAGTTCAATGGGTTCGGCTACTATTGTTGAGAATTAAAAACAGCCCATCGCATTCATTTAATACAAAATTATTGGATACATATACTGTAGTTTAATGAATTACAACATTTGAAACCAACATCGTATTGCGATTGGTAATGAGATTGTAACATTTTAAAGCAATCAAATTTTCAATCGTTTTTAAATGTTTAATATAACCAATTAACCATCGAGCAGGGGTATCCAGAAATAACCAAAAACGTGACATGAGACAGGGGCGGCAGGGGCTCATTGATTTACACCATCGAGCAGACGTATCTAGAAATAGGGGGAAGTGTCATGGGGTGTGGGGAGGGGGGGGGGGGAGAAGGGTGGGATGATGTACCCCTTTCCGTACAGAGTCACTTGGAAAATGTTATTGTTGCTTTTGGTTTTTTTCCCCGGCCTTCGAAAATGAGGGGGGGGGGGTGCCTTAGCCGACCCCATTGTATGTTTTATACGCCATTGGTATAGAGTTTACATGAATAACATTCTCTTGCCGGTCTAATAACAATGTTTTAACCTTCAAAGTCCGACTCCTCGTCGGTGTTTTATTTTAAGTATATATATCTACTTAGCAACGGAATTCACCACCATCCATGCACATTTCCACTCACAATAAAACATATCATTTGTAATGTTATATATTTTGAATAATAACGCGTTTTACTAATGAACAAGTTACAGAGACGCTTGGATCATGATTGAGAAGAGCACGATTCGTGTTCGTAAATTATATATATCCATCGATATAAATTATACCCAGCTCAATCAGAAAAAGCTCATATCAATTATGGAGATTCATTTGGTTGATTGCTCTCCCAAATTAGTTCATGAATCAATCTCTATAAAGGTTTAAGATCATGCTGTGAATTTGTGAAAACCTAAGACCTTGGGGTTGCAATTACAGATCACGTAAAGGGCAATTGTATTCCAAAAATTCGTATTAAATACTCGGATCAGTAAGGGCTGAATGAAAATCGTTACCTATATTTATGCATTATTATTTCACATATATGTATGCATTATTATTTCACATATATATCGCAGTATTTCGAACACATTACTTTTCTTCTTCTTGGACACGACCCACACAGATACGTGTATTAAATTATTGTGGTACGGATCATTGTACACTAGCACAATTATTGCAAATCAAGTTGACGATTAGATTTGTATGACTCTGTATCTTTTGTATGCAGGTCGACGACTTTTAAAAAAGATTAAAATCTTGCTTCGTTTCTTGAGCTTGGGACAGAGTATTCATAATTTTCGCATGCGATTGTTGAATTTAGGAGTATATAAACAGGATTATATCGAAAGCAGTATAATGAACCATATTCAATTTCAATCTATATTCAGGGATGTATGAAGGCAACGAAGTAAACTTTGTATATTCAAAATAAATGACATTCACAATTCATTAATAATGAACATTGGTGGGTGAGGATAATGAAGCTCTACAGTTCTTTAAAATAAATACTGTGATGGGAACCGATAATAACATTGTAATATTTTTGCCTGGGAGATAATAATGTCAATTAAATTTGAATTATATAGGTAATTTCCGCTTTCCATTACAACAAAGCGGCAAAAACCAACAACACTGAAACATTCATGGGCACCATGGCAACGATGCTGACATCAAATATGACAATTTTTGCCAAATTTGATTTCAATACCAGCCGTGTTTTGATAGGGGCTGCAGTCGAACAAATAACGTGTCATTTATTATTCGTTATCGGTTCTTTTCACTTGATATACAAAGACAGCCGCCCCATGACTCGAGTGTAATGTAGCTAATGGAAATACATGCCAATGGTCTATTGATTTGTTATCGGCGGATGCTTTGTAGTTTTGTGAGGGCGGCAGGGGGCCCATCGAAAGTGACCGAACTAACTGATCAATGTTTAATAAGCAGATAGTCTATTTGAATTGATTAGCTAGTCGAACTATGTTTGTGTAATGCACCTTTATTCTCCTGCCAATGAATAGAATGACATACTGTGAGAGAAGTGTGAGATATTAATTGAATGATACCCCCAGCACTTTTTTGTTGTACATATAACGAACGACCAGGAGGAGAAATATTCTTGATAAAAGAAATAGGGTCAGCGCCTATCCAATCGTTTCTTATTCAATCAGTGCTGGTGGTTGGCAAGGCGCTTAAGGTTTGATTCCAAAATCCTTTTCACAAATTATTTTGCATCTACTTGAGCGGAAAATCCATAAGGCTTGGATATTAAATGGCAACAAGAAAATGAAAATGAAGACGTGGGGGTTAAGGGGAAATTGAGAGAATTGAAATAAATGAACAAGAAAACCAAAAGGGAGTACGCCATTGCTCCTGAAAGGACCCACTTTGATAAAAATCACAGCGGGGTGAAAACGTTGGAGTGGCGTTGTAAACGTATACAGGTGGCCCAAGTGTGAAATCCGGTTATACCAATGTCATTGTCAAGTGGTATTGGGGTTTACGCTGTGGGGATCAATTAAGGCGTGAACAGGGAGAGGGGGTCAGTGAGGTATGAAATTCATTCGGCCAGCTTTCAGTGAGTTCTTTTCAGCCCTGGAATCGATTTGATAACTCTGATTGGATGCAGAGGATTAGGAGGATGATTCGAAGACCAAGTCCAATGCCTCACTTCAAATGAAGAAAACAAAAATGGGGGAAATTAAAGGTGGTGTCGTGGATTTGGGAGTGTTGAACAAAAAATACACCCTGTGAGAGGAAAAAGTATATCGTGTATACTTTCATTTCCCGATTCCCAATCTAAAATGTGAGCAATCTAAACAAATAGTAACAAGTGTTTTAAAGAAAAGGGTGGACATAAATCTCACAAAACAAAAATAAAAGGAACTGGGTGTGAATTTGGGAAATATAGGCAATAATAAAACGAAAACAGATTGTAACCTTGCTTGAATGCTATTCGAATGCCATTTTCCAAAATGAAAATTCTAGCAACCTCAACAAACATAGTAGACCATTACTATTTTAATTTAGCTAAAGTAGACCTCACTTCATTGGCAAACTCAATAATCTATCTGCATAATTTGACATCGTATTCTTAAAACACAATTTGCAACGTATAAAGAATCATTTCAGACAACAAAACTGTCCCATTTTACATGCAGATCAAATAAGTACAAAATGCATCCTATAATACAGTCTCAATGTAATCACATTACAAGAAGCTATAAAAACGAGATGTCTTTTTTTAGATTTACACGAAGGGTCGACAACGGGAATAATAACATGTGGCCGTTGTCGTAAGAAAAACCACTCGATGGTTTAATAGCCGTTTGCGAACACAATATACATTTAATCTCTCTTTAAAAATGAAGGAAAAACTCTTTGGAGTGCGTATCCCTTTCAAGCGTCATACAATGGCGCTGCCTGCGTTCACAGAGCTGTAAACGATCCCCGTGCTTCTGTTGTTGCCATTTATTGTTGGGTACTTCCCCCGGGGCGTCGTGGGCCTGTTTTCTTTGTTTGGCGTTCCCCCATTTGGAAACTGCTGCTGCTGCTGCTGCTGCTTTAACTGCTGCTGTTGAAATGACGATTTTTGTGCTGGTGAAAAAAGGGCACATCCGCCAAGCCATTTCTGCCACGATTGCACGGTTTTTGAACTCCAAATCCACATGCCACTCGTGATACCCACGACGAGTAACATGAAGAGTTTCACTGATAACACAGGGACGGACGGGATGGAATAATCCATGGGGGCGCAACCCCCACCTTGTTCTGGGGGCAGGGGTCGACATGGGGCGTGCTCCGCTACAATCCTCCAGTATTCCATGTTCGATCTCTGGTAGAAATAGCAAGCAATAACTGCAGTGGCAGGCACTGTGTAGAGTACTGAAAAGATACCAATGCGAACCATTAGCCTCTCCAACTTGTCAATATTGGTGCCGCCATTTTTCATGACTTTGCGAATCCTAAATAAGTAGAAAAATCCCGCAAGAATAAAAAGAGTCCCAATAGCGAAATAAATAAAGAGCGGGACGAGAACGTAGTAGGTAAGAACGTCAGGATCGTGGTTTCCAATATAACACATTCCTGTGAGTTCGTCTGCGTCGAGTCGACGTTTGAAGAGGGCGATGACGGCCTTTAAAGCTGGCAAGGCCCATGCCACGACGTGGTAGTAGCTACTATAAGCCGCTATCGCTTCATAGCCCCATTTCATTCCCGCTGCCAGGAACCACGTCAACGTCAGGATCACCCACCAAATCGACGACGCCATGAAGAAGTAGTACTGAACCAGGAACACGATGGTGCATCCAGTGCTGTCTAGTCCTTCTTGAATCAAATATGGGACACCACTTGACGTCTTCTCGCAAGCAACGGCCTGTGGTCCGACGATGAGACGAACAATGTAGGTGATAGAATAGATATTATAGCACATTGATAAGAAGATGATGGGTCTTTCTGGGTATTTAAAACGACCTCGATCGATGAGGAAAGTGAGGACGGTGATGGAGGTACAAACGAAGCACAGGATGGCCCAGACACCCATCCACATCTCCGTGAATTCCTTGTCGGATCGCTGGAAGTACACGTCGACATCGCACCTCGGCGCACAAGAGTTCGTCTGCGAGACGAAGACGAACTTCTGAGGATTGGTGCAAGTTGGTGGCGCTGATGACGATGCATTCGATTCCCTCTGTCCATCTCCAGCGGATGGGCCGGATGGGATGTTATCATCAGGCCCTCCGAAATTGAAGTTGGGTTCGTAGGTCGGGATGGTGTCTCCGACATCGGCGGTGTCGGGGGCGACCATGCACAGGTCTTTTCCTCGAGGTAGCTTGTCACAGTTCATACTCTCAGGCCAGCTGAAACTGAAACGGGCCATCACCGGCTCACACTTCCGTCTCACATCGTCACACATGCTCTGACAGGATGGGATGCGGATATCAATGTGCTCGGAGCACATCGGTGCGTACATCGAGCACAGGAACAGTCGAAGATGCTCGGCGCATCCGACGACGACCAGGGGATGGAACTCGTGAATGCTCGGGCTGCTTCACTCTGCGTCACGTGTCCGAACAGATTGGGCATCTTCGTCATGTTATACCCGATTCCTTGACAGAAATCAATGGTGATCCTCTCGCAATGTCCCTGTGTGTTTCCATGACGCACACCAAGCCCATAGCTGCCACAACACCAACCCCACATCAAGAAAACACGAAGGATAAGGCTCCACGTTGCCATAACAACCGATTGATTTCCTCACCAAACCTTCAAATATCCCCCGTCAGAATTCGAAATCGTTCTCCATGCAATGTGAGATGACTTTAGCTGCGTTTATAATCAATCTCAGTTCATTCACCGCGACGATAAGTTACTTCAAGCTGAATTCACAATCGTTGGTATAATATAAAGCTACATACTCAAGTCTCTCATGTCTGTCTTACGTTTCCTCAAATTGGGGTTTCACCTTGAAAGCTCTCTACACGCCACTCGGGGTATCACTTTACAGTTGATCCCGCTCCTATTTCACATGTGTTCCTTATTACGAGGTCTCGACGCTCACAAATCCTGGCCTGCATCAGAAGAATCCTCCTCCTCCTCCTCCTTCTCCACCCACAGCACGCAATCTCAAGTCGAGTTTGATATAGAGCAGAGAAAACTTGAAATTAGTTTTAGCGCCGATTTGTGATCACACGTCTGTCTGGTTTGCTTGTCGCGCACACACTGTTCGAATGGCGAGATGAATTAAGCTGTCGGCTTTTTTTCTATCCAACGTAATCCGCTCAAGCATTCACAACAAGCTCGTTGAAATGAGAACATCAAGAGCCACCGACTTGAATGAAATGTAAACGATACGTGTAAACCGTTAACCATGCAATATAACACAGTCTCATCTCGTGTTTAATCATATGCAGCTCCGTTTTCGACTCGACAAACGTTGAGGAACATTATAGGGTCAATATTACTCCATTCGGTATATGATACAAGTCAATAATAGTTACTCCTCGAAAGTGCGTTGGCTTTTTGCTGTTATTAAAGAGAGAGGTGGATAGAGCCTCGGTAGATCATAAAGTCATTTCGGACAGTGGATACATAGTCTCCAGCATTCCAACCGAATAGTTTCTTCCCATCCAAGCTCAGTTGCGTAGAACTCCAATTCCAACTGGAAACAGCAAGAGAAGATGCATTATAACGGCGAATATCATATACCAGCTCTGTTTGTAATAAATAAGAAGGTTACAGACTGAGGAGCCGCGGTGGGGTTGGCAAGCTTGCAGGGAAACAGTGTAGCCAATAAACGACCGACCAATGACAGAGCTCTGCGCCTGTTCTCCCGGGTAGAATATTAACTCGCTCCGCACAGCTGGGGTCGTGAATCAACGTGCATTACGGGAGAGGTCACCGGCGGTAATAAAAAAAAGTGTATGTAGCGGGCAGGCTCCCCGCGAATGAGGAGGATCTGTGGAAGTTATTACAGTATTCCCTCGAAATCCTGAGGGGTTTTCCTCTCTCTTCTCTTTCCCTCTCTTTATTTTCTCTTCTCCCCGCCTCTCTCTTTCTCTCCCCTCTCCCTGTTCACCTTTCCTCTCTCCTACGTTTTCTCCTGCTTCTTTGACTTCATTGTATTAAATCCATTTACAAGTTTGATACTTGGATTACATAAAGTTATTTTGTCAAAAATTACAATTTGATTAGGTTCATATTACCCTTTCAGTCATTCATCTTGGCTACTTTAAAAAAAAAAGAGGACAACTCAGGACAACTAGCAATTGTGTAGAATTGCCCTCTTTTAAAATCATCGTTTTCTTGCTCTTTAGTACTTTACCTCCCCATCCCCTTTTCTTATTCCCCCTCCCGGTTCTCCCCGTTTCTGTTTATCCCCATCCACGTCCTATCCGTTTCTGTTTTCAGTCTACTTTTCATTCTCATCCTCCCTCTGCGTATCCCCCCCCCCCCCCCCATATTCTTTCTCTCTAACTTTTTATCTTGTTGTGTCTTGTCTCCCTGTCTCTGTCTGTCAATATGTCCCTCTCATCCTAACCCACCCCCTTCTCTCCTTTCATCAATCTTTCCATCCCCCCTCTCTCTCTCTCTCTCTCTCTCTCTCTCTCTCTCTCTCTCTCTCTCTCTATCTCTCTCTCTCTACCGCATCATATTATCCAATCCAAACTTCCTCGAAAGAACAGAAAGAACAGAGGGGGCGTTGAATCACAGACCACGATGACACACCGTCTTCATACTTTCCTTTGAGTGGACATTCCATGGGATTTACTTGTAATATCATACAGGCCTCTGTCCATGTTGAGTGTCTGACCCATGGGTCCATGGTTAGACCATGGACCTACTTGGCCGAACGAGGGGCGAAGCCACAGGGAGCACAGGGGAATCTGACCCCCCCCCCCCCCCACACACACACACACCAATCCCACAGAATGATAAAAGGGGAAAGGGGAAACAATGTAGAAGAAAAGAGAAATGATAAAAGAAGACGATAGGTACAGTACAGTAATGTACTCTCTTGAGAATCCTCCAAATATCTTCGACTTTAACCCAGCCCCCCCCCCCCTCCATCTTTGAATTTGTAAGAGCATAAACGATTTTTATGACAAGGTCCAACATCGATACGATATACTGAAAAATGTGCCGGAAATCTGATAAAATAAAATATTTCTTTTAAGTGTCTATGATGATTCCATTAGCTCTCCAGCCATTTATTGGTTTTCTTCTACCATCAAAGGTGTACGTAATATAGATAATAAGTAAATATATAGGCCTAATTTATAAAGGTAAACAGAATGATGGCATAGCTAGATAGCCAAGTTACATTACCATATAGACAGAAAGAGAGAACGATATATAGATAGAAATATAGACAGGTAGATGGATATATAGATATATAGAAAGATAGATAGATATTTAGATAGATATATAGATAAATGGATAGATAGATGGATAGATAGATATCCTTTAAGTTACTCTGAGTAAAATATGAAAGTACCCTTCTTATGCTCTTTCATTCTTACCCATTTTAATGTGTCACATAATTTGTTCATAAGGACCGTCATCATCCATGTTGGTTGGGTGCAAAAATGAAAATACAAACAAGCATACTGATGTACAGAGAGTTTTGGAGACGATTTGTTCCATATAGTAAATGATGAAACATATCTTCCATTAAAATGATCGAGGAATATAAGTGATGCAAAAGTATAGTTTTCCTTCAGCTATGGGGTCATCTTTATCAAATGAGATACCAAGGGTATAACATTATTTGGGGTAATACAGTGTATAGTGACAATATTTTATTGTTACCATCAGCGTTAGTCAGGCTGGGTGATATGGAGATGAGAGAGGGAGAGAGAGAGGGTGTGTGTGTGTGTGTGAGAGAGAGAGAGAAAGAGAGAGAGAGAGAGAGAGAGAGAGAGAGAGAGAGAGAGAGAGAGAGATAAGGCTGAGAATCATTCACAAATAAGTTTGAGCATGGTTTGAGGAAGACAAGCGGAGAAATATTTATATCCTTGTATAAATCTTACAGCCCCTGATACTCTTTTTTGTGTGCTAATACTTTGCGCGCTTTGCGTCACGCTGTTTCGCATTGTTGGTACTTTTAAATCCATTGGTATCATACTCTACTCTTCTTTTCACAACAAAATATCGATCTCTTTTCTTAGATTAATCATCAAAATGGTGGAATTAAGACGTATCTGGTTAAATTTTCCAACTAAACGTCCTAATATAAACCCCTCTTACAGCATCCTCCTCTCGCACAACACCTTAATTAAAATTCCTTTATCGCCAGGCCAGGGATCGGTGAATGGGGCTGGGGCTTAAAGCTCAATTCTATGGGATGAATGGAGGAGGGAAGATGAGCTTGTTAAAGTGATACCCCGGCACGAATCAGCCGACTTTGTCCCTGGTTAGCCGTCACAATAGACCGAGAAAGCTTCGTTTTGAAAGGAAGGCTTTTCATGAAGAACCGGGGAAGAACCAAGCGAGCTGACCCTGGAGACTAAAAGAAGACCCTAAGAAAACATAACCATTGTAAGAATGCCTGTTGGTATATGCAGTTTGAGGGATCCGGACGCCCAGTCAGAGCAAAAAGAAAATTATTGTTTTTAGATCTCCTTATCGGCAACGAAGTCTTAGTATCTCTTTGGTCAGAGTAAATTTATTCCCCAAACAGAATGTTTTGGGTCAATTGATTTCAACGAAAATTAGTTTGAAACATGTAAAATTGAATATTTTGTGACTTTTGTCACAGCGAGGAAGGTTTGATTTGAGAACTTTTGACATTCCATGTATATCTATGCTCTGATAAGTCTGAATGAAATGCTCCCAAGCTGATGAAATGATAAATAGCGTAATGATTTTCACATTCGAAAAATGAATACCCTCTTAATATTATTGTTTCAGGTATCACTAATGTCGTATGGTTCATGCCATTTGCTATTTCATCTGAATTATGAATTTAATTTAATCTGAATTATGAATTTAATTTAATCTGAATTATGAATTGAAAGTGATCTAGATTTGAATTGGATTTAATCTGAATTGTGAATTTAAATTAATCTGAATTATGAATTGAATTGAATTACTTAGTCTGAATTATGAATTGAATTTAGGCTGCATTTTGAACTATCGCATTTCGTGTTATCTATGTTCTATTATCTAAGTCAAATGTACTATCGTATTGATGTTTATAATTTGTAATTTTGTATTGACATGCAATCGTAACAAATTTTCAATAATTGGACAATAACATTTTAATTGAATTTTTGAATAGAATTGAACTGAGCAATTATAATAGGATCTTTCGTCAACAGGTATTTTGAATAAATTTGAAATCACTGAGCTGGGATACACGATTTAAATTCGCCAATATCAGCATGATAGCATTAACTGCGTAATTAAAAATAGAAAATGTATTGATCACAAAGACTATGGAATCTTTAGAAGAAATTAATTGAAAGATCCGAGATGAATTCCTCTCAATAAACTTTGTAAATATAACAATCTACAGTGTAAGTGCATGTGTGTAAAAACCAATGTAAAGTCAACGATTTCATTTAAAACGAACTACATGTGTATCATCCCACCACCTCCCGAATTGGACTGACGGCCATTTTCTTCTTTTCAGATATACCTGTGATTGTAAGATTGATCTCTTTTTACCCGTGTTTGTTTCCCTGTCACTGCGCGAGTAAATCTGAAAATTGACTTCGACGTATAACATTTTCAATAGCACCATCATTTTCATTATCAAAGAAAAGCAACCGAGACAGGCTCTGAATAGACACTGCCACTGGAAGCTCTATAGTAGAATGTAGACTGAAGATAATGGGACTGTCTTTTTGTTGCTCATCGTTTTGAATGGTTTAACAAGGCTGTACGTAGGGCGTTATCGAAGGCGCTGTTTTTGTCAGACAATGAATGAAAAGAGTTACTTTCGACCGTATACGTTAACCACAATTATGGGGTACTGCTAGACATAATGAGACAGAAGACGCGTCGTGTGTCTTGATATAATGATGATGCTTGGAAAGGGAGACCAGTAGCGTATCTACAGGAAAGCACCGGGGCACATCACCCCCCCCCTCCAAATCGAGTGTTGAATAAAAACTACGAAAAGGGAGAAGAAAAGGGACGTTTCCAGCACCCTCTATCCCCAACCTAACCATAAGTCTTAAATTAGCATTTCATTTCCGAGTAAGAGTGTTGCCCCTAATCGTCCCAGTGCCCCCTTCCCCCTTATCCACGATACGCCACTATGCAGGACGGTGCGTTTTATACAAGATAGACATGAATTGTTCTTTTATTTCGTTTAAGAAATTATGTACTTATATAGTGGAGATACTCTTTAGGACAAATTACTCTACTTTACCGTAATTCGTTCAAAGGGGATGCTGTGTAGAAACCAAACACCCTCTCAAGTCTAATATCCTCCTTGGTTAGACCCGGGTTAGACCTCCGGCAAAACAAAGATTTTAGATGAGGGCAGATTTTGTAAAAGAGGAGCGGGGGGAGTAAAATTCCGGGGAAATCCGACAAGCCTCCACCCAAAGACTACCACAATTTTAAAACTGTCATTTGGCTCGGGAGTTTAAAAAATAAAGGGGCACGTTCCATAGGGGTTATGTACTTGCCACTTAGGTTTCAAAGGAGCACGGGTGGGTTGCCCCCCCCCCCCGCTGTCCCCTCCCCCACCCGCACCAATCAGTATTGCTTTTGCTCATGAATGCGGCCTCCATAGGATTTATCACTGTATTACTGTTTCTGACCTCTTGCTTATTTGAAATAATCTTGAGTATCCTTTTACTTCCTTAGTAGCATTGAATTAATATTTTGGTATCAACATAATCAGAGTATTGAAATAAATGTGCCTTCCTTCATTTTTGTCTAATTTCGAATTATTTAAATTTCTATGCATAAGGAAGGAAACATATAAAGATAATGTCCAATATACAAAATGAAAGGACACACTCATTTCAAAACACTACATAATAATATAAATGAAATCAATGACACTTCAGAAGACCGTGCTAGTCTTATCGAGGCTGTTTCCATAAAATATTGAAAATGCTCCTGAATTGAAAGAAAGCTTCATTTCGAGCTTTTATATTTACTGCATATTCATAATTATTATTGTCCAATATGAAATGTGTAGGTTTCACGGTATACAAACGTGGAATATTAGTTTTAAAAAGTAGATTTTTTTCATTCTCTAAAAGACCATAATTAAATGAAGTGGAAAAAAAGAATAAAGTACATGTACTGAGTTTCCAACGTCCACAAATTTCCAAGAGTGCAGAGACAAGTCATAAACTTTCATGAAAAATACTTGAGAGGGCACTCTTTAGGATCTCGGTATGGAGTTCACATCGGGTTCTGGGTGACTCGCATGGCCCTGGCCTGGTATCAAAATAAAACTTATACCAGGCCAGGGAGAAGAGAGTGTAGTTGTAAGATTGCGATTTCATGAAATATCAAGTATCTGTCTTAACGTACGTATCAAGAATTTTTCTATTCAAAGTATCAGAAAATGAGGACACATTTTTTAGTATTTAGTCATTTTCCTCCAAATTCAAATCTTTTCGTTTTTCTTCTGATCTTATTTTATTTGGCAACATTTATTTCCTTATGTTATGACGAATGATTTTTTTCCCTGCCCCTCATCCATGATTTGTATTGCTTTGGAATGCAGCTACTAGTATTCGTTGAGTAAAGAACCATTTTAGCATCCGCAAAATTTAGCATCTCAGTGCATTTAATGTAGCACGTTTACGAGGTACGTACAGTATATGATTCCCCTCATATAGCATATCGTTGCTGATCTAAATTTATGTCTCCGAAATTCCGTCTCCGAAAGTCCAAAAGTAATACAATAAGGTATGTTTATGCTTATGTTGATTAACGATTTGGAAAAGAGAATGATTATTACCAGGAAGATGTTCAGTGAGTGATAATTACTTTGATGTAAAGATGATTTTCAGCAGGAATAATCTCGGGTAAAAAGGCTTCGGTCCCACACGTTGTAATTGACGAGGTGATTCTTGGGCATTCCATTTCTGCTGGCCTGCCTTGCCTCGCGCTCGTCTCTGACCGAGACTTTGGCCTAGGCTAAGGCTAATGGGCGAGAAGGCCATTATCATATCACAATCATCTTCGCAATCATCATCATTCATCATATCGCTGTTGTAATAATCATTATCATAAATTCATCATTTCAAAAATGTTCACTTCATTCAATGATTCATGTTAAAAAAAAGTTTATTTGCCAAGAACCGTCTTTCACTCTTTGTGAAAGATTTGACAATTTTTGCACTCAATTTAACCAATATTTTGGGAATGGAACAAGAGGTTTTTGCAGACATCTCATTAGCACCTCTGTTAATTCATGAATACCAGTTAGTGCATTACAATGGCCTGAGGTGTCTGCAACCTGACAGTGATGATGACTACTTGCTCTGGCCACTCCAGCAAAGCATAAAATGATTGAGAGTCAATGCTAATGCGTATTGACCTCTAGCACTGCATGCTTGCTGTGAGGCAGGTATTATTAGACCCATACACACACCACACAATATTGCATAAACCGCATCCAATCATGTCGATGCGGCTGTAAGCAAAGTTTGACTGTAGACTTACAATTTGAATTGTTAAATTATTCTTTTTAACATCTGTAAGTTGAAAAAAATGTATTTTACTGCTATTAAGGTGTCATTAATTGTCACTAAAGTACCGATTTTGAGTGAAATCAGTTGAGTTTTGTACAGTGGTGTTTGAAATGTTGAGAATCAAAAGCACAGCTTTTACTACACAGCCAGGATAGTGATGCTCCTATGTGTGGCTCTGGCCTCCCAAACAGTGATGCTATGAGTATGATCAAGTGCATAAAAGTGCCTAAGTACATGTCTTAAACTAAAAAATTCTTTTGTGCATCTTATTCAACAGAAGCAGAATTTCACCAGAGAGCAAGACATTACAGATATAAAGATGTCACTGCCGCTTTCAGAACAAGGGGTTCTCACAGTGGTCCCCGATAAGTTGAAACAGCTGGCAAAATACATCATGCATGGATTCTACTCTGTGGAGCACGCCCTCGTAGTTGATATGTTAGTCAGGAACACCATCATGAAGGAAGACGACCTGGCCGACCTGCTCAAGTTTGACAAGAAGCAGCTTCGGACATTGTTGATGAAAATCAAGAACGATAAGCTCCTAAAGCAGGTGATGCGCGTTGAGACGCAGGCTGACGGTAGAGCCATGAGGCACTATTACTACTACATCAACTACAAGACGTTTGTGAATGTTGTGAGATTCAAATTGGATCGAATGAGACAGAAGATCGAGAACCGCGAGAGGGACTCCACCTGCAAAGCACTCTTTAAATGTACCGAATGCACCAGAACCTACAACGAGTTTGATGCAGGGAACCTGTATGATCCTATCACTATGGCGATGAAGTGTACCTATTGCGGGGCTGAGGTACAGGAGGATGAGAGTGCCGTACCCAAGAGGGATGCGGTCACTCAGATGGTGACTTTCAATGAACAGATGAAACCCATGTTTGATCTGCTGAAGGACGTAGAGCATGTGAAACTTTCACAGCAACTTCTGGAACCCACACCAGTTCCTCTCAGTGATGCACAGAGGTAAGAGTTGACAGCTTAAAAGAAAATGAATCAAGTCTTCATTCTATTTTATGTTGAAAGAACGGTTTCTGAATGGATGACCTGAAATTTTTCTGATGGCTTTCTTTTACCAAAGAAGGAGAGTTATGTTTAAGGCATAGGGTCAGGGTTTGGTATATAGTGTTTGGTCCAGGGCTGAAGTTAGTAATTTGGTTGGTGCAGGAAATTGGCGATGAAGCAATGTCTTATGTTTCTAAATGGCATGACAGGACAGATTATATGTTAATGAATATAAGTTCATCCTCCCACTTGGTGATCATGTGATCACTGATATTTCACGAACCTGATGTAATGGTACTTTGGTCCTACATATCAAACATAATTCATTTCAGTAATCATATGCAAATGGTAGATTATAACTTACCTGCTTTAGAGTCTCTGCTAATAAACTGCTGGTCCACAAGATTTATATGTATTTGTTTTGCACTGCAGCTACCTGGTGAAAAATGTGTTATAGGGAATATAAGGTTTTTCTTACATTTGTTGAAATGTTTGAAGAGAGATGATCCATAATTTTTATTGGTTTACCTCATCAACATTCCTTACTCTGAGAATAATACACATATTACACATGTATTCCTATGGAATGCAGTGTGATGAATTAACCTAATAATAATCCCATCATTGTTAACATGAAATAATATATCCAACACAAATGTTGACATGTATGTTAATGAGTTTTTAGTAGGTTGTATCAACAATAATTTTTTGTGCATCATACATTATTTGCAAGAAGTATGGGAGAGTAATTTGTTTGGAGTGGAAAACAAGATAACGAACGATATCTTGACTAAAATGATGAGATTATATGCTGATATGAAATATTAACTAAAGCACAGAACTTTTTAATATATGGTTTATATGAACAAGAAATATGTTTTGATTTTGATTTTTTCTTCTGCAGGGGTCTTTTGGGCAACCGAGGGTTGAACGTAGGAGGTCCTCAACGAGGCTGGAGGGAAGGAGATCGTGGCCCTGCAGAGCTCTACCATCAAGACGTCACCATTAACATCGGAGAGAACCAAGGCCCAGCTACGGACCAGCCAGCACCACGAGAACGACCTGTCTGGATGACTGACAGCACCGTCGAGGGGGCCATCACGGAGGCGGCTCCATCGGGAAGTGGGGTTGAAACCATGGAGGCAGAACGGGCTGGAACCAAGGCTGGAAAGTCGCATGAGGGCGAGATCATGAAGGCGTTGCTTGCGCACGAGAGGAAGGTCGGACAGAGACCCAGCTTCCATCACGAGCACGAACCGAACAGTGACAACGAAAGCGACGCTAGTGCCTCGGACGATGAGTATTCGCAACCTCAAGGAAGAACTGAACCTCCCTTATCAGAGGACAGACTTGCTTTTGGTACAATGATGGGGGATGTGACAATGGGCAGACATGAGGAGGAAGAGGAGGAAGAAGAGGACATGATCGTGATGGTTCAGGGAAGACCGGTGCCGCTAGATGAAGTCACTCCTGAAATGATTTCTGAAATGGACCAGGAAGAAAAGGATGAATACATAAGACTTGCACAACAAGCACATGCTGATATGTATGAATGATGTTGTTTACTAAAATTTGCACAACATGCCAATATGACTACATGTAGAAGTTGTCAGCCAGAACTCTATTAACGTACTAATACGTAAAAACTATTGTTGTTGAGTGATTGGAATGTAAATAATTCATTAATTTGAGTGCATTAGTATATATGCAGTGCATGCAGGTTGAGTCACAATTGAATTATAAGGAGACTATTGAAGTTCATTATTTGGCTCATTGTGACTTACCAGTGTGCTGTACATCACTAATGCACAAGCGTTGGAACATGTCTGCAATGGGTCTACAATATAAGAAGTTGAGAAATAAGCAACAGACCTGATTAAAATGCCAAGAGTTGCGCAGTAATGGAGGCGTTGTGGCGTGCGCCTGTAATCATGTTGTGGTGTGCGCCTGTAATCCAGCTAAAAGTGGCAGTTACAAACTGATTCAGCCGAGGATGCAGGTTCGAAACTGAGTCATGTCTTTCGGATGGTGACGTTTAAAGGTCGGTCCCTAGACGTAAATAATCATATCTGATTGATACACGTCTGTAAAAACATGACACACACATCATGGAGGCGGCCTTTTACTTTCTTGAATGATGACATCACATATTAATCACAGCCAAACAGTATAGTGTATGTGTTAGTGTGCTCATCTATGCACTTGCCATTTGAAGCTATGAGCATTTCATCTTGTACGTAAGGAGATGAGATAACCTGTCATGTACAGGTTATCTTGGATAGGGCATGTTACACGACTGAATGGTGTCATTAGTTTTAGAGGTAATAATGAAACAACTCATTTTTGCCTGAATCTTGGCTAGGAAATCAAGAAAGATCTCCTTGTGTCCACCTTTCTTGCTATGTGTTTAACTTTGGTTAGCCTGTAAACGAAGAGTATCAATATATGATTCATTACCAAAAAGCAGAATAGATCATGGAGACTATATGCCATATAAAATGAGTAATTCACAAGTATTTCATCCCTGGTTATGTACCAAGTGATTGTAATGAAGAAGAAGAAGAAGAAGAGGAGGAGGAGGAGGAGGAGGAGGAGGAGGAGGAGGAGGAGGAGGAGGAGGAGGAGGAGGAGGAGGAGGAGGAGGAGGAGGAGGAGGAGGAGAGGAGGAGGAGGAGGAGGAGGAGGAGGAGGAGGAGGAGGAGGAGGAGGAGGAGGGGGGGGGGGGGGGGGGGAGGGGGAGGAGGGGGAGGAGGAGGAGGGGGGGGGGGGTGCGTAGGAGGAGGAGGAGATTATGTCTTGTTTATCTACATGGTAACCTCACCAGTAATTAATGAAACTTGATTCATTACACTGGAATTAGCACAGCTACCACGTAAAGTTGGTACTTCACAGAAGTCGAAAAGACTCACCACAAAACAAAACACATTTTTTAGGCTTTTGAATAGTAAAATCTTCTCTTGAACAGTTGATCAGTTGCATATGTCACTTGATGCCATATTAATAAAGTAAATTGGCAACACGTATTTCCAGAGTATATTGAGGATTTCAAAACCAATTACTCTTTTTCTTTATATTCACATATTGGTAATTCCATAAATTAGGGACCCACTTTGTGACATTTTTGGTGTCCCTGTTACATAAGGAACCCACACCTATTTGTGGCTTTGAGTAAAGACTTAAATATTGGATTGAGATTGTAAAGTGATTTCCCCAAGCATGATATTGTATCCTCATACATGTACCTAAAATCACTGTAGGTCAAGTCTGTAAGAAATAAAATGTCATTTTTATAAGGAACTTGAATCTGATATTCTGATTAATGTTGCCCTATCAAACCTTTTTCATCATGGATTTATAGAAATCGTGCATATGAAAGCTATGCTCATACCCAACAAGGGGAGTGTTTCGCAAAGACTAAGATCAACTTTAAGTTGGACTTAACTATGGCAGGCAGTTCAGGCCACTGTTAGCTCTCACCATCTACTAGCATTTGTCTCTTAAGGGACGTACAAATCGTGGTCACAAATCTACAGAATTTACCTTTTTTGATAGTTCATTATTGAAGGAAAAAGTATTATCTAAAGATCATAATTGATAAACCAATGGTGAGAGCAACTAGTGGCAGGAGCGGCCTGCCATAGTTAAGTCCAAAGTCGATCTTAGTCTGTGTGAAACATGCCCCAGAGCTTATACTTGGCTTGAAACTAATGCAACACAATGTAGATCGTAATGTTTTTTTTTCTGGTTTTGTTCGATTTACCAATTCTAAGAATACGTTATATTAAAGGACATGTATTTTGCCTACCGTTATTTTTATGCGAAATAAAAACCTTTATCCTAGTTCTTGGGCTAATGTGTTTGATTGCCCACCATTAATGATGACAATAATGACAATTATTTTGTATTAAGTGCTTTTACAGAAGACTGACGAAAGTGCTATTCATACATATGTACAGAGTCATAGATGCCTTCATCTGTTTGTATATTTCAATCACAAAATAAATGTGGATAAACAGGATATTATATCTTTGAAGATGAATTACTGTGATCTAAGAATCCTTATCTAGATCTAATACATCTTTATTCACTCCACTGTCTATCCTATACACTTCTCACAAATGATGTATGTGGAATTCAGTTTTTCTAAATATTTCAGGAGTTTTTTTAATGATATAAGTGTGATAGTGACACCCACCCCTCCCCCCCCCCCAACAAAAAGAGATTAGTTTCATGATCAATTTTTGCATTCTTTGAGCGAGTGTATTGTTGTGATCTAAGAAACATTTATATATAGATCTAATACATCTTTATCCATTCCAGTGTCTGTCCTATACACTTCTCACAAAAGATGTATGTGGAATTCAGTAGTTCAAAATATTTCAAGGGCTTTTTTTAGTTTGACCCCCCCCCCCCCCCCCCCCCCCCCCCCCCCTGAAGAAAAAAGAAGTTTCATGATGATGATCAACTTATGCTTTTTTTGAGCGAATGCATTATTCAGAGTTCAGCCTCTTCACACACGGGGCGAGGAGGAGAAAAAGGGAGTGAGTGAAAGAGAGAAAGAGAGAGTGAGAGAGAGAGAGAGAGAAAAAAAGGGGGTGGGGTAGGGAGCAGGAAGGCGATTGAGAGAAAGGGGATATAAAATGGATAGATAGCTATAGATAGAGGGAGAGAGAGTGAGAAAGTTGGAGAGAGATTGACAACTAAAATGAATTTGTATTCTCCATCCGACCTATCAAGACCCATTTTTCCTGTTTTGTGTCCAATCTTTCCTCTTAACCACTGTTGCTCGTATATTTGACCTCTCTCTCGTCCGATCCCCCTCTTGAAATTTCCAAAATTTGAAATACAGTACGCGGTTGAGGGGCTCACTGACTGTGCATTGATTGGACTATCCCATATACTGAGCACGCACTTTATCGGCTGCTCTCGATCGCGTTCCATAGTCCAATGACGTAACATTCAGGACTGGACTGGGACGTTATAAACTGGGACCCGTGAAAAAGGAAAAATATCCCCAATAACTATGGCTACCATCGGAGGCAGCTCTTCTTCTTTCATCAGAGGTACCGTGCAGAGTATTCCAATGTTTAGGCAAAGGAGCATGAGACCATTTTCCAGCATAGCATCTCGGAATCTGCCGTCCATAAACACCCGCAGCCGCAGGCTCCAGTACGAACGAGTGCGAGATACCGCACCCCCTGGTCCGGGGTGGATGAGGTGTAGTGTTCCGCTCATACAGCAACAGAATGGGTATGTACAGTGCGCGTGCGTCCCCCCAAAAGGAAACCGAGAATTATCGATGTCTTATCTTAACTTAGACCCAAATCACAATTGTAATTAATAAATGACACATATTTTCAAAGCTTAGATCCTCCTCTTTCATTTGATGCAACTCATATGATGCATTATTTCATGCATGCATGATTTCAAACATTTTGAAGAGAGGGTACCAAAAAGTCATTTGGGAATTTGGCGGGTAGTATCTGAATTTCAAAGAGAAAATCACATTTCTAGAAAGTTCATTTTCTGCCCTTTCACATGACACCTCAATCAGGAAAAATGAGCTAGGAATAACAAAGTTCTGTTTGTTTTTAAAGTAATGCTTGCATAATTTCCATAATTTGATTAAACAAATTCATTTTCACTGGCTGCCTGCCGTAGCAACAAACAGAGTTGATAAAAGGCTTAACTTTGTTTTCGTTGACGATCAGCCTTTCATCAAGTCTTTCGTATTCTAAAACTAACAGTTTATTGAAATTAAAATGCCCATAACTTATAAAAATATGAGCTTATTTCATACAAAACTACTCAAATTCAATATTTACATTGCTTTACATTTTGTATTAATTAATAAAAAAAAAAAAGAATTCCTGTCATATTTTTTGTTGTTGTATATATCATGTAATGTATGGAGCAATCAAAATGCTAGAAGTGAGTTCCCCTAAATGTGCTTTGTGGTACATGTATACTGTGCACAAGCTAACGGCCTTCTGCCAGCAGGACAACTGTGTCTTTGAAGGGACCAACTTTGATCTTGGTTTATGTTATAGTTTCAGCATCTCACTCAAGCACCACCATCAGTTTGAAGCTGAGCAAGGCAATGCAAGTACTACCATGGACCCAGAGGAACTGGAGAAATTCAGGATTCTGTCGCAACAGTTTTGGAAAGAAAGTGGAGACTTTCAGGTAATGGTGTGTGAAAGTTGATGGCAGGCTCAAGTCCTTACATGATAATAATAATGGCCACTTAAACATGCATCCATCACATAGTAACTCATGGCGCTTAGACATGATTAGTACCCTGGTTATAGCTGAGCCGCCAAAGTAAATGGTGTGCAAGCATTTCCGGTACCCATATACACCTGGGAGGAGAGTGGCAAATGTAGATGAACTAACCATAGTGGTGGTGGAAGTAGTAACTATTTACAAAAAATAGTAAGTATTAGTGATTTCTTGTTTATTTTCTTGAAATATCCTGGAAAAGCCATCTTGATTATTATTTCACCATGTAACGAATCTGCACATGCATGTCTCCTGTATTGTTTATGCTATACAGGGCCCCTGTAGTATTTCAACTAGTACTTCAACTACTGATGTGGCTACCTTGTTGAAATAGTACTAAATGAATACATACAAATAAATAAATACACATGTTTATTCCACACCCTCTTCTTCCTGCCCCCTCAAACCCCCCCTCTCTATCTCTTTCTCTTGCAGGCTCTTCACAGCATGAATGATCTGCGAGTACCCTTGATAAGAGACACACTGTTGAATCAGAAAGGCGGTGCTAACCGTAGCAATACAAGACCTCTACATGGTGCAACCATTGTTGATGTGGGGTGTGGAGGAGGCATTCTAGCCGAGGTGGGTCATCCTAGATTTAAAATGTTGGGTGAAAATTTGATGTGGATGTGATGTGAAGAAGATGAATTGTTAGTAAAGCTTTGTCTTTCAATATCTATAAGAAAAATCATCTCTGAAGTCGTTGAAAGTGACCATGGTTAGTAGCAAAGATGCTGTTGATTTCTGTGAGAATGAGTGGAATTTTGTTTGTACAATAAAATTGTCAACATCTTTGTAACTTATCACTTCCAAACCATTGTCGCTACCCATGTTGTGTTGCTCCCACAAACACTTGCGTTGATTTTCACCATTTGATATATATATATTTTCAATCGTTAGATATTCATAAAAACTAAATTTACACAAAACTTAGCTAAAAATCTCCTATACATGTATATATACATATAACACAAATTGCTGTAATTTTATCTTCATTCCTGATTTTTATGTTGATAATAAGTCATGCTGTAGTGTTACATCATCATATTTTATTAAATCCAAATTCTACAAGTGATGAACTCTGATGTCTGAACCTTGAAATAAGCATCAATCTTTTCCATTGACTTATAGCCTTTAGCGAGACTAGGGGCAACCGTCATCGGTGTTGACGCCACACCAGAGAACATTGAGGTAGCTCAGCACCATGTGAGCCATGATCCAACCATCAGAGGCAATGTGAAATACATATGTGGTACCGCAGAAGACTTGGTGCGTACCGAGGATGAGGCATTTGATGCCCTAGTGTGCTCGGAGGTATTGGAACACGTCAGTCATAAGGAGAACTTTATCAAAACTTGTGCAGAACTTGTCAAGGTAAATTAGAGACTTCAATTATTATTTTTGAGTATAATAACACTCTTACTTTTCATGAGCAGCAAAATGAACTGCAACAGAAATAGACTCAAATTATACAGCAATTTTTACACTTTCTGCGGAATTTAATTTTGTAATTTAGAGCACTCTCGATCAAAAGATGAAATAAAATGTCATTTAAAGAGTGCGAATAGTTTAGCTTGTTCCGAGAATGAGTCATTTTATATTTGTTTTATCCGTTCATTCCTTTTACACTTCTGTATCATGTACCGTATACTCACATTCACGTCTCAAATTCAGAAAAGAAATAAAAGAAAATCCTACGGCTCAAATAATTAAACATTGAAGGATTTAATTATGTTTAGCTGCTGGCTCTAATTATAAGCCACCTATACAGATACTGCGTTAGTTTAGTGCAGTTATCGCACAGCTTAATTGCATGGCTTGAGCGTGGTGACACCGCGGGAGTCGGCCGTGCGCAGGCATTTGAAGGGGGGGGGGGGGGGGGGACGCGCGCATAGTTTACTTTTATTGCTGACGTCACGCATAGTACCTTTTTTCCCTAGGGAAAAAAGGTACTATGCGTGACGTCAGTAATAAAAAAATGAACTATCCGGTGTAGTCGACAGGAAACGACTTTTATAGTAAAACTATTCTTTTTCTTGTTGTGTACACTCCCAATGCAACAATCTTACGATAAGGGATATTATATAAAATAGTTCATAGGGACAAATTTAGCGTTTTAATCCTTTGTTAGGCTTGATTTTATTGTAAATTATTGCTTAGCATTTACCTGTTCCTTTTTCAGGTTTTAAAAAAAGTTTTTGTTTTCCAATACATGTAGTTGGCCTTCAATCCATGATGCCTGTAGATAATGAGTCAGGGGAGAATGGAATTCTTTGGTCATAATTTTCCACAAAGTTGATCCTATTTTTCCTAAAGAAAATTCAGAGTAATTTATACTCCATAGATTTTAATAATTTGAATTACACAACTAATCCAGATGATAATTTAACAATCTTTAATATTCCATTTCGTGTTTGAATATATCATTTATAATCAAAGAACTTTATATTGGTATGTATCTTTGTAGCCTGGAGGTAGTATATTCTTCACCTCTGTGAACCAGACATGGCTGTCCTATGCATTGGGTATCGTCATGGCCGAGAAAGTCTTGGGTCTGGTCCCTGATGGAACTCATGATTGGAACAAGTTTATCAGTCCAGGCTACATACAGAGAGTTCTGGAAGAAAGTTAGTACAAAAAAAAATTGTTAGTACAGTCAAATCTGCTAATAGCAACCACCTATGTAGAAAACCACCTGTCTATAAAGACCACATTATTTAGTTTCACTTGAGTGGTCTGTATACACAGGTTTTCCTTTACTACAAATAAAAAACATTGCAGAGATTTATGGCATACTGAAGCTTCTCTTCTCGCACTCATCAGAGTAAACCTTAAGAATGAAGAGAAAGATAAATTTGGAAGATACAAATGGAACCTAAAGAAACAAAGCATGCACAAAAAATAAGGGCTCTGAAATAGCAGGAAACATTCGTAGGGTTTACTCTGATGAGGGCACAACAAAATCCTCAGCATACTATATAACTTAGTAGATTTAGTACAAAATGAAGCTATTTCTCATTTCAGATCTGTGTACCACAATAAGGTGATTTTACCTGGTTGGATGACTTTTCTCTCACTTGTCAAATGTTCAAGAAATAATGTACAGTGTCTACATCTTATTCACTCCATGACAATCTCTCAACTCATTCTGTAAATGTATTAGTGTATATTCAATATTCAAAGTACCATGTATATGCATATTCATAACATCCTCTCCGTCTCTCTCTGCCTCTTTCTCTTTCTCTCTCCATTTCTATCTCTCTCCCTCTCTATCTCTCCCTTCTCTATCTCTCTTTCTCCCTCCTCACTCTCTCTCTCTGTCTCTCTGTCTCTGTGTGTCTCTCCTATTCTCCTCTCCTATTTCTCCTCACTCAGATGACTGCTCAGTGAGACTAACTCACGGTATGATGTACAATCCTGCTACCAAGCGCTGGTCATGGATGGAGGATACAAGTGTGAACTATGCGATATGTGCAGTGAAGAGAACTGTCACAGGCGAAGATCAGGCAGCTTTATAGTGCCTTTAAACCCCAGTCGCACCGACAACAGACCGACCAAAAAAATTTAGAGGCCAGCTTGGAGTCGGTTTGGTGATGTGACCTCATGTTATTCACTGATAGAGAGAGAGGGAGAGAGAGAGAGAGAGAGAGAGAGAGAGAGAGAGATGGACTTGCAGAGAAACTCTACTTCAAGGGATTGGAGCAACTGTCTTCACAAATTTTATTTGAGACTCTCTTTAGTCATCACTGTCTGCAAGCATAGACTCGAATTTGACACTTCAACAAAAGTTTCTGTGACTTGAGCCAAGCCTAAACCAGCCAGAATGTAGATGCCAGGAACATCTATTGAAGTGTAGTCTACGTCCAGGAGAGCTCAGACCCTGCATTATGACTTACAAGGGTTGTGTACCTGCAAACTATCATCATCCCATCCTACAGTGATAGTTTGAGAGAATGGCAGTCTGACCTGATGAGACTACTGTGGACTATGACTTCTGACCCAATGGCACATGAAGGATTGAAATGAAGAGGAGAACTCTACTTACAGACAAATCTTACTAAATGAAAGTTTTTTTTCTGACCAAATTACCAAACATGGAATATATTTGTTCTCTTCCAATCTGATGATATTCAACTGTTTTAGGCAGACACTTTATTGACCGAGTCCTCGCCTCCTTGAGTCACATACATTGTAGCTGTATTTGGGAATTCCCAGTATGATGTTGGTCTGATGGGCCTTCAGACAAGTTGTCAGAAGGCCAGCGAGACCGACATGTCAGTCTCGTAGGCCACCTATTCTGTGAATCCTTAGATAACTTTTAAGAAGGCCTATGGAACAGTCTTTGTAGGGTGGAGCCATACAGGTATAGCCATTTCTTCTATACCGATACAATGTATGTACTCTCAGTGTCTATGTGATTTCATTAAGATTCATCTGTTTATGATTTAGTTGGGCTCAAAGTCCTAGTATTGCATGAAGATATGTGATCATCAATGCCGAAAATCTATTTCAAAGTTTTTCTTAAAGTGCAATCGTAGTGCAAGTACTTACTCACTGTCTTCAATTTAGTGACTTTTGCAAGCCATAAAGTGTGTTAAAAGAAAAAAAAAAAATGCTGTCACAAAATGTAATTAGCATACCTAGTGTCACAATTTTGTATGTTATAAAACATAAATTATTGAGCAGGGGTCCACGCTGTATGCAGCTCCTTTCTATTTCACCCTTATTTGCCTTTCAATTACATGATTTTGGATTACTGTTCACCACATCATGTTTGCACAAGGCTTAACAAGAAAGTAATTTATTTCTTGTTTCATATTTTCTTAATGTGAAAGTAGTTTATTTCTTGTTTCGTATTTTCCTAATGTTCTTTTAAAATAGCAATTTTTAGACTTTTTTGAGAAAACCCTTTTTTTTTTTTTTTTTTTTTTTTTTTTTTTATAGAACAAGGTTTCCTGAACGATTTTAAAATGCTGTTTGTTTTTTGTTTGTTTTTTTTATTGTGAAGGAGGATATTTGTCTATCAAACATTTGATTAAAGAGAAATTCAACACATTAAATATGCAAACATGGTGAATTTCCGAGTTTTCAAAGAACGTACCCGTTTTGAGAAAGGAGAGAGGCATGGGTGGAAATTATTCAATTCTCAGATTTTGGGGATGTGCCTATGTACTCAACAAAGTATTTGAATCACGATAAGCAAAGTATTGTGGGGGGGGGGGGGCATTTGATACTGTGCTCCCCCTTCCTCTTTCCAAATCATAGGAACACTTATCCCTGGATTTCTGCCCATGCCTGACTAGGAGAAGAAATGATACAGAAGAGGGAGAGGAAATGATGAAGAAGAAAATGAAAGTAGAACGACAGGTAGAAGATGAATTAAAAAAAAAAATTGTCTGGACATATGTATACTTGTTTTTTAAGCACCACATGAGGAAATAAACTAAACTTGAAACTTGATCTTGAAATAGGGAAGAAGAGAAAGGAATTGGAAGGGCAACGTGGTTGTTGATATAAGGATAGTAACAGTGAAGAGATGAATGGCCTAAAGAGAGCTTGCCATTTTGAAGGCTTGAAAAAATCACAGTTTGAAAGCATGTGCTTGATGTATGTGTGTTTGTGCAATTGTCTGAGTCGGTAGTACTTGAACCAGAATGTATTTGTAGGAAAAAAAAGAATTACTGACATTTTTATCCCCCACACATTTTCACTATTTTCCTTCAATACCTTTTTTTTTCTCAATAAAGGATGAGATGGGGAAGGGGCAGCCCATATCGGGCACCTCAACCTGCCTGTGCACCTTTTCTATACATAATCTCTAAGATATGAAATTATTCTTCTAGACTATCAAAGTAAAGAGAATACACAAGGGTAAAAAGGATGAAGCAAAGACTATGGAAAACAATATTGAGAGGAGGGAGACTTTCTAGAGAGGGGAACAGGAGAGAAAATAATTAAGGGTAAGATGAGGAAAAGAAAGGAGTAGGGAGGGAAAACGTAAGCTCAATTAATAAAAAGATATTTCATGGCCATTGAATGCCTTTTATTGCTTGAAAATCATATGAAGAAATACGGATACCTACACTGAGTCCTACTGAGAAATAAACATATCAATACCACATCTAGAAAAAACAAAAAACAAACTTAACATCAAAAAATAAAAAATTCAAAATATAACAATTGATAACTAATTAATTAAAAAAAAAATGGGTAGGTTCAAGTGAACAAACAACTCCCGCTGAAACAAATATCCAATCAGGGGAAGGAGATGGGCCCTTGGGCTTTGTCTTAGAACTCCATTGTAGAGATGCCTTTAAAACACAGAAAGGCAATGAATATATTAATTAATAAAAGCTCTGTCCTTTCTTGTACCAATTTTCCCACTCATCACCCATCCCTTTTATTTCTGTGTATGTCTGTCCAGCTAGGTCCATGGCCTGTCTGTCTCTCTGTCTCTCCGCCCCCGGTCTTCTCTCCCTCTATCTCTCTCTAGCTGTTCCCCGCTAATTTCGGTCTCACACTTTCTTTCCCTCTCGATCTGTTTCCTTTAATACGTACAAATACTTCATGACAAATTGTTCTATCCCTGTATCTCACTTTGATCATTGATTTAAATATTTCGGGCTGAGTTCTCGATCTCTATCTATTCAACCCCCTCCCGCTCCCCCCCCCCCTCTGTTTCTCCTCCCCCAGTCCCCCTCCCGGACCTCTGGCCCTCGCCCTATGCCTAGCTAGCTAGCCCTAGGCCCTGCAAAACTAGCCCTCCAAACTATTTTCTAAGCGACAGGTGCAGCTGATGCCATTGTCCAATCAGCGTGCGTGTACGTTGCCCTAGCCACCGCGTCTGAATGACGTCATTAATCATATCCGCATATCATATCGCTGCACTGCACAACACACTACAAGCAGGCTCTCAAATGCGTGTACCGGGTGCTAGTCTGTGCAATGATCATGGATGCTATACGCTAGTTAGCTAGCCCGGCAGCTCGGCGGAGATCAAGACGGAGATCCCGGCGGTAAGTAACAGTACCCGGATCGGGTATGTTAGCCGTACCATGCAATGAATTACACCATGGGTGGAGTTATGAATTACCGGGGAATGCAGGTGTGACAGGCAAATAAATTATACTTTGAGCATCTTTCATTTGAATAGCCGAAACATAAGCTAGAACATGTTTAGCGTTTGAATCTAGGCTATTTAATAATCATTATTAATAATATTATAATGTCTGTTTGATCACTGACTGATCGTCCTTTTTTAATGGAAGCTCGCCTAGCTCTGGCTCTAACTCTAACGTTAGTAGTAGATCTAGAACTAGTAGAGAGTTTAACGCCATAGTTATTATGCCTTTTATTAATTATATAGATCTAATTATTTCCCTTCACTTTCTTCAGTTTTTGAGTTATTCTTTTTCGGGACTTGAGCACTCATCATAATTGATTTAGATCTATCTGCAGTGCATGGGTTCCCCTACTTGTCCTTGTGCCTTGTGCCTTGTGGCTTGTGGCTTGTGTTTTTTGTTGTCTGGTATTGATTGACCTGTAGTGTCAGCTGTCTAACCACAATTTTATTGTTGTTTCCTTAATATCTTATTTGTAATACTAGACGTTAGACGACCATGCAGAATAACATGAATAGTCTACTGTACACTGCAGTGCGTAATCTTCGTTGTATGAAGTTGCATTTACCGAGGAAGAAGAAGAATAAAAATAACCATTACCCGGCAAGTAGACCTAGTAAACTAACATAAAACTGCACATATTGTCGCTAGGTGTTATTATTTTATCATTACCATTCGCAATAAATCACCACGATAATTGCTAACTTGAAGCTTTTTGATAGAAATCAAGTAATATTTTTTATGTTATAAAAATTGTAGACAGAAAAATCTGTATGTTCAGAGAATTTTTTTTTAAGCATCTTTTGACTTTTGATACTCTCATCCAAGATATGTAGAAAATATTTATAAATCCCATGAATGCAACAATCTCGTTTCAGATTTCTGTAGATGATAACCACATCCGGCATGAAGGAGATAAGGCTGGAAGATTTTCACTAGCTGGGAAAACAGAGGCACAGCATCAGGATGAGGAAGAAGAAATCTAAGACCAGGCTGGACTCGGCCGCCAGCAGCAGCAGCAGTAGGTACCAGCACCTCCATCAGGGTGTGAGGAATCCTGCCAAGAAGGTTGTCATCAAGAAATACGAAGAGACGCCAAACCGATACCGGTCGAAGATCGATCCCGTCAACCTGGAGGAGCAAAAGATGCAGTTCTTGAAGCATGGACAAATTCCTCACTTCCAGTTCAAGGTGGCACCGGAGAAGGTAAAAGGCCGAAAAGGCAGAAAATAACAGGAATAAATACATTTACATTCATATTTCATAATTATAAATGCGAGATAAAATTACGGCAACACTTCTACAGTAAAATGAACTCTGAACGATTGAAGAAATCAAGTTAACAATTTACCTGCACAATCGTATGAATAACATGCGTCATAAATTAAAATGTCTCATAATATGATATTTCATTAAAATGTCTCCAAATATAATATTTCCCATCAGCTCCTCCCCCCCCCCCCACCATCCGCTAGCTCCCGATCCACAGATGGTTTTGGATTTTGCAGAAAATAACAGGAATAAATAGATTTACATTCATATTTCATAATTATAATGTGAGATAAAATTACGGCAGCACTTCTACAGTAAAATGAACTCTTAACGATTGAAGAAATCAAGTTAACAATTTACCGGCACAATCGTATGAATGAATAACATGCGTCATAAATTAAAGTATCTCATAATAAGATATTTCATTTCCCGTCAGCTCCCCCCCCCCCCCCCCCCTCCATCCGCTAGCTCCCGATCCACAGTCTCCAGCTATCCGTTTAATTGCACTTCAATATCAGCTATTAAAGTGCAATTAAACAGACAGCTTTCAAAATCAACAATAGCAATTTCAAATCCAGTAGGAAATATTATAGTATTAATGACTGCTTTGAGAGAAATAGTTGTTTTATTACGCTCAAGGGAAGGTTAGAATTGTGCTATTCCCCGAGGCTTGCCGAGGGGAATAGCCCAATTGTAACCTTCCCGAGAGCGTATGAAAACAACTATTTCTCGAATATTAAAGCAGTCATTAATACTTTTATATGCCGAAAAAAAATAGACTAAAAGATGAAAAATTAAAAATATTTAACATTTTTGTCGAAGACGGGATTCGAACTCTTGCGTACAACAAGAGGTGTACCGAAAACCAACGCTTAGACCACTCGGCTATGGCCCGCCGTTAACCTGCTTGGCAGTTTTCTCCAATATATACATTAAAATGGATTGAAACCGGCTTCGCGTGTGATGAATGCTTCGCAAAAGCTCCATATACGGACTCTTCTTTTACTTTTGCAATGCATATTGGCACGAACTTAGATCAAGATCTATCGGCAGATGTTGTTTTTTTGTTTTTGGAAGTTTATTTTCGTCTTCATGTCAACAATGCAAGATAAAATTGTCGGTAAGATCGATCGAGATTCAATTGTATTGAAATTACCGACCAATCCTTCGCACACATACGGCATCCTCCATCGCTCAAACCATTTTTTAACATGTAAACCTATGGGGTAACCATGGAGGCTGACCAACTTTTTTTAATAACCATGGTTATTAAAAATATTGAAATGTTTTATGCATGGTTACCGAGAATTTTACAGGAACAGTTGAAGTTTATGAATGCAATTCGACCAATCAGATGGCTGGATTTCTTAAGTGAGGTATATAAATGATTATAAGGATAGGTAGGTAGCCTTATGTATACAGTTATCGCGTCACAGTTGAATTATACACATGTATGGAATTAGGGATGAATGAATTGCGAGAACGTGAAAGGCGAGTACGGGGATTCCAGAACGGTTGAACCTGAAACAATCATTAAGAAGATGGGTAATTGCTATGGGTTAAAATTTTAGTAGAGATTCATCTGTTTTATCTTTTTTCCCCTTCATCCGTTCAGATCGAGGAGATGTCACACAGCAAGAAAGCCGAGATTGAGTTCACGCTGCTGCAGGAAGCTACCTGGATCCTGGAGAAAGTCCATCAGAAGTACGGCCCAGGCGACCTGTGCGTAGAACAGATGTACGGCGAGAGGATCACTGCTGAGATGGCGAGCAAGAAGCTCAGTCGATACCTGAAGCAGGATGGGTTTGACAATCAGATCACCATCGGTTGGACCAAAGATCTAGCCTGCAGGTAAGGTTAACAATCGAATGAGGATTCTGAAATGATGGGAGTTGGGGCATGTGTGTTATGATGGCTTGGTGGTAGAGCGGAGTTCTGATATATGCGGTTGCCCTTTGGTATTAACTTACTGATTAACAAGCCCCTTAGTTGTCACTCCCTTTACTTACAAGCATATGCTTTCTTAGCAGTCACTTTACCACAAATCATCACTTATTTTTCTGTTGCCCCTGTTTCTTTATATTCCCTTTTTGCCCCCCCCCCCCTTCCTCAAGCCTTTCTTTGTTGTTTGTTCGTTCCTGTTGTTTAACATGCATGTACCTTTCTTATCGCACTTTGTATAAATGTATCATGTACGTATTTCATCTTTTGCACAAGCTGCGCCTTGAGCATTTGACTGTCAAGTGGATTTGGCGCCTTATAAATCATATGTATTATTATTATTATTATGACATTAGCCCTCCGGTCTAGTGAGTTTAACTGAATTTATAAAAATGTTACCAATCTACTTCATGTACATTCAAGACTGATTGGTTTCTTATTGTTTTGAATATGCAGTGCTAAGATGGCTTGGTACGGCCCCAACGCCAAAGCCAACAGGCCGGAAGCAAGAAAGTACTCTCTCTGGCTCAAAGACTCCACTGAAAACCTCTTCCTGAGGGAGATAGGCATCATCTGCCTGGCTGATCACGAAATTGGAACTCACTTTGTATCCTTTGAAAGAATTATCATGACTAATTTTGTAGTTTGTCTATATTAGCAGAAGAGTGCAAACAACATTTTAGATCACATTTAGTGTTGAATAATCCATTACTGGTAGTGATTTATCATTCCCTTGATGTACAGACAGTGCATGCATGAATGAAGGATTAATACATAATTTTTATTAGCATGTAACTCATGTTTGGTTCAGTTGAGTTCCCAATTGATTACAAATCACTTATGCATAAATATGCATTACTATAATTTGGCTAGTGTGGTAGATGTATAGTGTAGTCAATGAATTATCAAAACTTTGGAATTATCATTCTCAAAATCTGTTGGTACTCTTCTGCCTAGCACTTGACACAGTTTATCAAATTAATAGTACAGAAATTTGTAGTACATCGTGGCAATCCAGAGCCAAAAGTGATGTCGCTCTCCTTCTAAGTTTCCTTAGCATAACTTTGCTCAGCTGAGGACAGTGAACGATGGGATCCAGCCCTGGTTCTCAAACCGAGAACAGTTTGGACTGAAGAAGATCGGCTCCCATCTACTCTTAGAGACCGAAGAAGGCCTGGCAACCATCAACACTCTGGTCCAAGCAAGCAAAAAGTTCCTCTGGTTTCCAGCTCTCCTATACTGTAAGCTAAATATCTTTAATCTCTAATATTGAATTGAATATATTCACCACTTTCATAAAAACATACAAAGCCAAAGAATACAACAACAAAATTCTTGCAAACATCGATTAGCCAATAAAATGGAAAATACACTAAAGGAAATTATGTAGAGGTTGGATTATCAAAAAGTTACAGAAACTTAAACACACAAAAAAGGACAAAGGAATAATACAATATCAAGCAGCTCCGTCTACATGTATGTGGAATACACTTTCACTGTAAATCTGATTAGAAAATTCCCTAGGAACATTCATAACAAGTTGTACATGTTCTCATCATATATTTTTGTTGAATATTTGTTCAAAATGCATTTTCTCCCTTTCTTTTTCATTTGTATGTACGTTTGTAAATAATTCTCTCAATTTCCCTTTTCGTCTGAGAATAGAGTACTAGATTGATGGCACAATATAAATGCTGTATTTATGATTATTTTAAAATTTTGTTGGTTATTTGGTTATTAATTTGCTGCATGATTTATTTTGTTAAAGAAAGAGGGTTGGGGGCATAGATTTATATATTTTAAAATGTACTGATTGGTATGGAACATCTATGATAAGATCTGAGAGCTAATGAGTTGAATCCTTCGATATGACATCAGTTGAGACAAAATGATCTGGGCTGTGTCCCTTGTGCTTTATAGGTAAAACCCCAACAATTGTATCGTTCAAACTTAAGTTTGACACTTTTATCATTATCGTTGCATTGTACAGGTTATCGTTACCATTGTCAGTGAGGTCTGACCAACCCTTCATGCCATTTTATTAGACAAGTCATCATAATCATTTCTCGTTGAAACCACCTAAGATTGTAGTATTCTTATTGTTTTCTCTTAGACACTGCTTGTAAGGCTGCTACGATGACCTTTGAAGAACTGTTCGCTCACCTGGGCCATTACATTGAGAATCGGGAACTTAGATGGCGCTATGTGATGCGGGTCAAACGTAGTCTCCCAGACCCTGCAGGAGTAGGGGGATATGGAAATGACCAATGCTACTTTAAAGGTAATCTTTCCTCTCATGTAATCTCAGTAATGATAAACAGTCAAACCTGTTTTAGCGACCACCTCTCTAATAAAGTCAACCTGTCTATAGAAGTCACCTACTTTGTCTCCCTCTAAAAGGAAATGTGTGCTGTATAACCTGTCTGGAAATGCCAAGTATCTACAGTTTGGACAGTTTTCCAGTTTTCCTTTGGGTGTCCTTAATACACAGGCTTGACTGTATAACAATAATGATTTACATCAAAAGATAAAGTTGAGTTCTGGCCTCGTGATGACATTTTGAAAGACACAATCTCAACACAAAATGAAAATGTTGACTACTGCTAGGTGAAACATAAGTCTGGGTGTATATTACGAGGTTTCAGAATCATCAAATGATTTTAAATTGACTTGATCGTGCTGAAAGTTTCATTCACTACATGAAGAATGTGTGTATATTTCTAATATGCTTTTTACTCTTGATGTAGGTGCAGCAGACATTCTGCGGAACCTGGACAACATTGACTTCCATCTCCTGTATGCAGGAAAGGTGTGTGTGGAATCCTTACCTAGGATCCAGAGGATGGCACGAATGGACTGTATCAGGATTCCTCACTTCATGCAGGACATGGGTTCTTACCTGAGAATCCTCAGGACAATTGCTGCCACCAACGGACTTAACCTACATCAGAAACCGTCTGTCATTTCTAAGGAGATTGGCCTTCGACGCAAGCCGAAGAAATCCAAGTCAGGTGGGGGCAAGAAGCGCAGGAGTTCGTCCAAGGCGAAAGTTGACAAGACCCTAAAGAAGCAGATGTCTTCTAGTGATGACAACCTCACAGAGAGAAGTGATATTCTTGATTGCGATGAACAGGTGGATATCATCTTCCAGCGGACCTATGACCAGTCAGCAATGCCGAAGTTATCGCCTTCCCGTGAGGCAATTCATGATCAGGGTACGAGTCATGTTACAGGGTCGGAGAACACATCCCCTCGGGAGACCAAAGAGGCATGGGCCAGAAGGTTCCTCTCCAAGTCTTACATCTACACCTGCGATGCTCAGGAATCCTCTGAGCAAAGTGACCTCTCTGCGTCGTATCGAGAGAATGAACCTCGATTGTCTCCTGGGGGTCGTTGTCAATCCCAGCCCACCATCATGAACATTTACGAAGACTGTCAACGCACCCCCCAAAGTCAGTCTCAAGTTACAAACCATCGCAGTTTTACCCGGTTATCCCCTCTGAATGGCATCTCATCCAAACACGCTGGTCTGAATCGCAACTCCACATCCCAGACTAAAGTGAAAAGGACCGATAGACCAGTGTCCTCTCTCCTAGCTGGCATGCCCAATGTGATGCCTACTGTAAGCTCGAAATATAGAAGAGAGAAGTGTGCCTCACCAGTCCCCTTTTCTTCTCATCGTTGGCTTCTGTTGAGGAGAAACAAATGTCCTCCCAATTCGATTCACTAACTTTTACTTAGAATGCAATATTAGATTTCTATTCAAGAAATATACATTTTCTCCATAAATATGTGAAAGATGCAGTGAAATGATCGTGTGTCTTCTTAAATGAAGACATGATATTATAACACAATTAAAACATTATCTCAGGCCTGTGTTGTCCTTGCACAACAGTCCAACAAAAATTGTTGGTTTAAAGTTGATGCATCCCAAGACGAAAATCCAGTTGAAACCAATTGAACACCAATTGAAATTTCAATTGGTTTCAATTGGTTTCAATTGGTCTCAATAGGTCTCAATAGGTTTTAACAGGTTTCAATGGGACCTCAGATGTTTTCAATTGGTCCAGATTGGCCCCATTGGACAAATTGGCCCCATTGGCCCCATTGGCCTAGGCCCCATTAGACTTTAATGGCTCCCCAATTGGTCCGGATTGGCCCCATTGGACAAATTGGCCCCATTGGCCCCATTGGCCTAGGCCCCATTAGACTTTAATGGGTCCCCAATTGGTTTCAATTGGTCCGGATTGGCCCCATTGGACAAATTGGACCCATTGGCCTAGGCCCCATTAGACTTTAATGGGTCCCCAATTGGTTTCAATTGGACCAATTGGCCTTAATTTGGACTTCAATTGGTCCCATTGAAACCAATTGGCCAATTGAAACCAACAAATCTAGGCATCTCATGAATATTCATTATCACTTTACACGTGTCACAGAAAAATAAATTTATCATGACTTGTTAGGCAAATTATGACAATGCACATCAATTTTGTGATTTCTTTATTCCTTCAGCAATTATTAACCAATAGATTATTTTGTCTGATCATGTTACAATTACATTCACGTTTTAGCAATAGATATATTGATTTATATATTGATTATATGATCACTAACCAAAAAACAATATACATATTTAGTATATATATTTGTACGAGCCAATATCTCTGTAAATGAAACTCTTGAATTCACTTCAAATGATCATTGTGATGAAGTTAATGCAAATGAGATTGGAATATACCTAATTGGTGGACAGTTGCCAATATCGATTATGAAGTATCAATAATTTATCACTGGTTCTTCTAACTGGATCGATTTACCAATTGAATCCCCATTGAATGTCCCCATTGAATCCCAAATCAATACCAATTGGCAATTTGGAGTAAATGGAAAGTGAAACAATGGGTACCCATTGAAACCAATTGGCGATTGGTCCCCATTGGAACCAATTGGCAATTGGTCCCCAATTTGGAGTAAATGGAAAGTGAAACAATTAATGGGTACCCATTGAAACCAATTGGCAATTGGTCCCCATTGGAACCAATTGGCAATTGGTCCCCATTGGTTTCAATGGGTACCCATTGTTTCACTTTCCATTTACTCCAAATTGGATTCAATGGGGACATTCAATGGGGATTCAATTGGATTTTCTTGGGATTGTAGACAGACAGTCATAGAAATCGTTTTACACAATGTTGTTGTAATTAAAATGGACTGCCCAGGAAATATGCTGCTGTAAAGTTAGTGCATTCAAGATGGATACTCAAAAAGAATCATTGATATGAAACTTGATGCATTTTAAGAGGGGCCTTGCAAGAAATTTGTTGCTGCAAACTTGATGCACTTAAAAATGAAAAGGGTATTATATTTGTCAGCCACTTCTCATTGTGAGTTTGTGACATCACAAAAGAAACATTGTTAATAAGCTTCTTACTGTAAAGACAATTGACAAGATAATGCAGTCAGACCGCAGCCGGTGCGAAAACCCTCCATTTTATTCAGCACGTATGCAAGAATTTACGTGTCTCGCATACGTAATGAGTAGTGCAGACGGTCTTCCCGATCGGCAGTTTTTGCCTTTATAATTGTTCATTTCTCATGAAATGGGTCTTATTTTAAAGATAAGAAGTTGCACTCTCTATATACTTATATGACAATCATGTTAGATATATTTTGGAAACAGATATTTCGCCTTGAAAATGGGGTTTTTCGACGATAAATCTATCTAAAGAGTAGGGCTAATTTTCACATAGAAATCATTCTTGCGTCAAGAAGATGTTATAATCAGCATAAAGCATAAATATTTTTCTTTACAATGATATCAAAATTATTATATTTTACGCTGTCCCAAAGTCAGGAACCAAAAAAGATCACGCTCATGTTCATGAATAATTAAAAAAAGTAGTAAATTTTGCCGATGTGATAATAGAGAGTTCTGACATATTTTTGATCAGTGACTTTTCATCTTTCGAACGAATCTCAAAGTGGACAAATTTATTTTGTCCCAAAGTCAGGAACCAAAAGTGAAATTCCCGGGTCAAAACAGCAGTTGAAATGTTACAAAAATAGCGTCAATAAAAGTTGTGAAAATTATTGTTTACAAATTGCGAAATATGGCAAATTACATATCAAACTGATGCTGAAAATCTCGAGAGTGACTTTCCGTTGCATGCTGCCATGTTGAATGAAGTTAACGACCAAAAACGCAGCTACATGTACACCCCTACAAATCTCACTGAAAAGCGCATGGAAATTCAGCAGACGTAAATGTTATGTGATCGCCAGATATCGCTGAATAAAAATCAGCTTTCAGCCTCATTAACGCGCGCGCTGCGGTCTGACTGAATGGATTGATGTGCTAGTGACTTAGTTCTTGATCATACCTTTATTAAAAAAAAGTGGGATTGCTGTTTACTTGAAGTTAAAACAGAGATAAAAGATGAAAAAACAAAGTCATGTTATTTAAAGAAGGATTGTTTTTCCTAAGCTTTTATAAATAATTATGCATCAATAGCATTTTATAGCAAATATGTAATGATATGAATTGACTTTAAAGGTAAAGACCAGTATTGGAAACGCCCCAATTTCAAAAAATGAAATGGAAGCTCTTAATATCAATCATGTGAAAGAGTAGGTTTTGACTAATACATGATGATAACAATTTTGCTGGGAAACCGCCTACTAATTGATATATTTGGTAAATTAGTTTATCTATTGGTGTGTGAGAGATAAACGCACATGTCGCGCATGTGTGCGTAGTCCCATATACATCTTTCTGTGTACAGTGCTTGTAACTTTACGAAGACTGGGCCAAATTTCTTATCATTTTGATGATTCCAGAACCTTGCAGTACACACCAATACTTATATGCTAGATGATCAACCTTTTCTGATCAATTCCACAACGTTTCTTTCACAATGCAATCGCGTGACCATAACTGGTCTTTATCTTTCATGATGAACATCATATGTAACAATTGTTCTGCTAAGGACTAGAAGGGCCTTAATCCAACCATGGGGCTATGTGTATTAAACACATTTGTGGCTTGCAGCAGGCATATTGTCTGTTTGGAGCCAGAAGGTTGATTGCTCCTGTACTGGCTCTAAACCATAGATATAGTTGTTGTATTGTCTTGAATTTTCAATGAGTGAAGAATTTATTTAATATTTTTGATAACGAATCATGTTAATAAGCTGCTGTGTGTTAGGTTATATTAACCCTTATTATGCTGCTAATAGAGAAATATATGAGACAGATAGTTTTTAATATCTTATAGTAAATTCCTATTTTTATATCAAATCTTATCAACAAAACAGAGCTAATATGTATATGTAATACACAAAACGTCTTCCATATTGCAAATATCACAATACACTTGTAAATTTCCTTTGTCTCTATGGTAAAGTAAAGCCTGTGAAAAGTGTGTGAACAGAAAATGTGTAATGAAAGTATTATTGGACAAGGTATTTCGAAACTTTATGATATGTCATTGTCTGCTATGTTCTCATGAAATAAATTCTTTCTAGCATTGTATTCCACATACTAAGAATCTTGCTCTGCGATTGGTCAAAAGTAAATCATGTGATGAAAGATAGTTCGCCCATCATTGATGAGAGAAGAAAAGTTTGTTCCACCGTGTAAAAAAGTACTACTATCTTCAGTAAAAGTGTGTTGCACTGTGTAGATAGTACTACTATCTACACAGTGCAACACACTTTAGGTACTTCTATCTACAGAGAATCATTACAACTTTCAGCTGATTGGACTATCATTTTTATTAATATTTTGCTTACACTGAACACATATAGCTTGTGGTTTTGTTCATATTTTTACACCGATTTGTAGAAGCACCAGTAAACAGGGTCATTTAGGCTATATAGCTGTTGAATCATGCAGTTTAAGTTTATATCTACCTGTATTTCTTGATTAATCATGAAATATTTGAAAATATGTGACGCTAATATCTAGACACCCTTGAGTACACGTAGATGTTAGGTTAACCAAACCAAAAAACTTTGTTTTAGAGATGATCCCCATTCCTGCAGTTTCACTGGGCTAAGATGGGTCTACATTTCAGTGCATATACAATAAATCACCACTTTTTTTCTTTTTTTTGTGCACATCTCTTTGATTAGTCTCGGATCTATCTTGCCCTATTTTTTCCTGTTTTGTGTGTGAAGGAAGATATTAAACTAGATTATTTTTAAAAACGAGTATGTCTTGTTTTTTTCTCCAATTGTCTTTAGAGAAACTTATTTCGTCTTGAAAGTGGAGACAATGGAGATAGTATTAGATTAGTGGAGACGAAGATAGAGAGAGAGATGGGACAGAGAGAGAGAGAGAGAGGGAGAGAAGGTGATCGAGAGAAAGAAAGAGCAAATAATGGAGAGATAGAAAATAGATTTTTTTTTAACTCTCCCTACGTTCTCCTGGGATCACCCGACTATAGACTGACACATCAAATCATATGATGTAATTCCTTGTCGTTGGCTGTTGGTCTTGTGGACCCTCTGAGTAGCTTTATAAAAGATGAGTTTTAAACATGTGTCCTAAATGGCAGATTCATAAGCTTTACAAGTAAAGAATCATTATTTTGGTTATTATATTGTTATTACTATTACTATTATTATTATTATTGATATTATAATCATTGTTGTTGTTATCAATATTAATATATTTTTCCGTTTGTCTGTAGATTCGTTTATTACTGTGCTGCTCCCTGGTCAAATGCATATTTTCAATTAAAAAAAAAATCATTGTTGTTCTATGAAGGTGATCAATAAGAATTATAATATGCGGAAGGATCTTAATAGTCTTCACACACACACACACACACACACACACACACAACAAACACACGCGCACACGCACACACACACACACACACACACTCCACACGATAAGCACAGTATTAATAAAAGATGCAATTAAGCGTAATTTGTTCTTGACCCTTTTATTGAAATATTTTTTTTAAAAATATTAAAAAAACGACGAGAAAGGGTTTGGGGAAGGTTTATTAATACATTTCACTTTGACCTACATGTAGCTGGATTTTCACCAACAAAAAATCTAAATCATTTTTATTGGTACTTGTTGATTTAACCGGAAAATGATTACTGATTTCTTTAAATTAATATCTCAGAAAAAACAAATTACAATCTACGAGTAGATTTCTAAGACGATTGACTTACATGAGCAAGGTTGAACAAGAATTATTTGGCATTTAATATTATTAACTGTCAGGAGAACGTGCTGGTAACTCAAGCATGTTTGCATGCACGAGTCAATATTAATTAAGTAGGCTATAACACAATGGTAGCACTAGGGAATTAGAGTATATATGATCCTTGTTATACAACTTAAATCAAATCAAATTTTTTTGCTTGCGAGTTCGGTATATTGAGCGAAGGGGAAAGGGATTTCAGATGACGAGGAGAACTGTGTTATATACACAACATCTCTTATTCTCGTGTGTTCATATTTCAACCTATCTTCACGATTTACTAATAAAGACATCACGGTTATTTTGTTTCAACTGGGGATATCAAACTATATGAGATAAACTTATTAGAATGGTTGAGTTTGTAAACAACTATTATTCGGGAGGAAATCAGACCTAGAATCTTAAGAAATTGGAATTTTACCCAGTCGTGGATTTTACAATTATATACCTTATTTTGTGCACAGTGCATGGTAGAATGATTTCCTGAAGTTTGTACTATTATTCGTCACATATTCATAGGTATCTTTTAACCTGAGGTATAGGTTAATATTTAAAAAAAAATTACGATTGTTGAGCTGAAGCTTTTTTTAAAGCAAAATAAGAAAATGTTAATTCACTAAGTCCGTTGAAATACCTATCCTTTTCGGAAGAATATCCAAAGCTAAGTATAACTAAACAACGATAAAATATTCTAATTATTAAAATTTTAGAAAAAGAAACGAAATAGAAATAGTAGGCCAGTGGGCCGGTAATCTCTTTGCTTCAACAGAAGTGATTTGTATGAACATGAGAAGTCATCTTGTTTTGTTCGCACTCTTCTGGATCGCTAAGCTGGTCAAAGGGTATGGTAAGTATTATTGTTTCTGATAGTTTGGCAGTGTTAAGTGATGTAAACGGTAAATTAGTTATTTATTGACAAATTCTTAAATCCATTGACTGCTTGAGTTATGATTAATTGATTGATAATTTGATTTATTGAATCGCTGTTTGTTGTATTGAACAAATAATTGTTTAACTAATGGACTGATATGATTGCTTGCTTTTTTTTTTGTGGTACGTAAACCTTCATGTTTACATTGAAGATGATGGTGATGAAAGTCCATGTAGTAGTTGTTATAGTAGTAGTTATAGCAGTAGAAGCCGTATTAATAGTAGCAATATAAGTAGTAATAGTAGTATAGTAGCAGTAGTAACATAAGTAGTATAAGAGTAGTATTACATAGTAGTAGTAACTGTAGTATAGTAATACCGGTAGTACTATGGTAGTAGTAGTAACAATAGTAATAGTAGTATGGTAGTAGTAGTAGTGGTATGGTAATAGTAGAAGAATCAATAGTAATAGTGGTATGGTAGTAGCAGTAGTAGTAATAGAAATAGTAATAGTAGTAGTATGGTAGTAGCCTAGTAGGAGAAGTAGAAATAGTAATATGAGTATAGTATTGTAGTAGTCGTAGTAGTAGTAGTATCGTAAAGTAGTAGTCATGGGAATAGTAGTAGTGGTAGTAGTATTAGTAGTATACTACTAGTAGTAATCATGGTTATAGGAGTAGCGGTACAAGTAGTATAGTAGTAATAGTAGTAGTAGTAGTAGTAGAAGTAGTAGTATGTTAGTAATAGGAGTAGTAGAAATAGTAATAGTTGTAGGTTGGTAGTAGTGGTAGTAGAAATAGTAGTAGTATGGTAGTAGTAGTAGTATTAGCAATAGTAATAGTACAAGTAGTAGTATGGAAATAGTTGAAGTACTATTAGTAGTACTGGACTACTGGTAGTAGTAGTAGTAGTAGTAGTAGTATACTAGTAGTAATCATGGTTATAGAAGTAGCAGTAGAAGTAGTATAGTAGTAGTAGTAGTAGTAGTAGTAGTAGAAGTAGTAGTAGAAGTAGTAGTAGTATGGTAGTAATTGGAGTAGTAAAAATAGTAATAGTTGTAGGTTGGTAGTAGTGGTAGTAGAAATAGTAGTAGTATGGTAGTAGTAGTAGTATTAGCAATAGTAATAGTACAAGTAGTAGTATGGAAATAGTTGAAGTAGTATTAGTAGTACTGGACTACTGGTAGTAGTAGTAGTAGTAGTAGTAGTAGTAGTAGTATACTACTAGTAGTAATCATGGTTATAGAAGTAGCAGTAAAAGTAGTATAGTAGTAGTAGTAGTAGTAGTAGTAGAAGTAGTAGTAGTAGAAGTAGTAGTAGTATGGTAGTAATTGGAGTAGTAAAAATAGTAATAGTTGTAGGTTGGTAGTAGAAATAGTAGTAGTATGGTAGTAGTAGTAGTAGTAGTAGTAGTAGTAGAAGTAGTAGTAGAAGTAGTAGTAGTATGGTAGTAGTAGTAGTAGTAATAGTAGTAGTAGTAGTAGTAGTAGTAGTAGAAGTAGTAGTAGTAATAGAAGTAGTAGTAGAATTAGTAGTAGTATGGTAGTAGTAGTAGAAGTAGTAGTAGAATTAGTAGTAGTATGGTAGTAGTAGTAGGTTGGTGGTAGTAGTAGTAGTATTAGTAGTAGTAGTAGTAGTAGAAATAGTAATAGTAGTATGGTAGTAGTAGTAGAAGTAGTAGAAGTAGCAGTAGTAGTAGTAGTAGTAGTAGTAATAATAGTAGTAGTAGTAGAAATAGTAATGGTACTATGGTAGTGGTGATCATGGTAGTAGTAGTAGCAGTTGAAGTAGTAGTAGTAGTAGTAGTAGTAGTAGTAGTAGTAGTAGTAATAGTAGTAGTCATGGCTAAAGTAGTAGTGGTAGTAGTAGTATAGTAGTAGTAGTAGTAGTAGTAGCAGTAGCAGTAGTAGTAGTAATACATGTATATAGTAGTAATGATACCAGTGGTAGCAATAATGTTGATTATCATGATAATACTAATGATAATAATGGTAACGACACATCATAACCCAAATGATACTAAAAATTGAATTATGATTATAAATCTAATAATGATAATTCAGTAGCAAAATTGTCAAATGGATTCTAAAGTGCCAATTCATGGAAAGACCGGTTCTTCATTTGTATCTGAATGACGTCATTTTTACTCCAATTGATTATTTCTATACAGGTGGATTCACCTGCCCAAATGGCTGGTGGCAGCGGCAGGATAGGTGTTATAAATATTTGAGCAAATTAATACCTTTACCGTACGAAACTGGAAAAGGCGAGTGTGCCTATTTGGGGGCGCAACTCTACGTTCCGAACTCGGACAGCGAATACGACGACGTCGCCGGGTTTATATCCTCGTCACCTCCTTTGTTTAACTACGTCTGGATTGGATGTGACGAGAAGGACATCGATGGCGTGTTCCAGTGCGTGGATGGCACCCAGCTCGATACTACAAGCGGTAAGCAAAGACTTGATTGAAATGTTAAAAAATTAAATAAATCACGGCATCGACCTTAATGTGTTAATCCGCATCATATTGCATGCATTAAAGTATTAAACTGCGAAATTCTCTTATATGTATTATTCAAAGTACTATTTAACTGTCATACTTAGAATAGACATTGATATATACAACTGGTAAGTTTTTCATGGAGCCTTTTTAAATTGAAAAACGATTAGGTTTATGGTAAAGAATGATTAAATATCCTTTTAATAACCGGGTATATTTGTCAAGTACAATATAGCATCAGCGTAGTGTATTTCCTTTCGCAACTCGTCCAAGCTAATAATATTGCGACTTAAGGGCGCGCCTCTTTTGGGCAAAGCGGGAAAAAAATATTGACAGATGCCCTATACTTTAAGGGCATCGGAATACTATGTCTTTAAATAACGACCGATACCCTGTTATATTTACAAAATATTGGAATACTACGTCTTTTAAAAAAATGACCGATGTCCTATACTTTACAAGACACTGGAATAATATGTCTACAAATAATGACTGACGCTCCATACTTCACAACAAATTGGACTAATTTTTTTACCCATGACTTATTTATGTACGAAAATAGGTTTTTATTATAATTTCTCTTTTTTCTTTTTTAATGGACCTAACCCAGATTGGTGGGAAGACTCGGAGCCCGACGCAGGAAATGGTGAGAAGTGCATTGACATCAAGATTAGCTTATCAAAGCTCCTTGACAGTACTTGCACCGATCTAGACATCATTCTATGTGAAGGTAACACCCCACCTTGGGGAGGGGCACTCCTATTTCCGAACGGTTCTCCCCCCCGAACATATTTCCGAACAGTCCGACTTCGAATATTTTGAGAATTAGAAATCCTACTTTATTTCAGAATTATGAACCCTTTTAGTAATTATAAAACCCTATATTGGGGGTTAAACATTAGAGCGAGTCTAGAGCCGGATTAATAATCAAAATCACTTTCCAAGTGCGGAGAGACATTTAATCATTACATGGTATGCACTTTAAAAGAAATGAATATTTATATAATATTGGCTGTCCAGAGGGGGGAGGGGGTTCACAAAGATCCTAAGTCGAACTTAACTCTAAGTTGGACTTACAAATTATGGAGAGCCATTTGTAGCCTTAAAATAAAATATATTCAATAGTGACATTTCAAATATTTTTGACTTTTTATAAATTCCACATCAGGACGATGAAATTTCCTTGATAATAGAAATCATGGATGATTTGAATGAACCCCCTTGAGTGGTATATCCGATATATTGCATTCAGCTCGCATATTGCACGAGTCGAAGACGGGTGCAATATTCATTACAGCAATTGAAACCAGCATGCGTATGCAGCTCTTGCTCATGCGCCCGCTGATTCTCCATCGCCGGAGATAAATGTTTTTTTTACAGAATAAAAGCGATATGCTAACAATATTGGTCTCGATTAAAGAAAGGGAATCAAATACATGATTTTATTATCGGGAAAAAGATGCCGTATGTATGATGTATGATAATAGTATTGTTTTAAAGAGATTTCATATGTATTAATCTCAGGTCCAGCGTTAGCTCTTCCATTATCGGCTTGTTGGAGCTTTGAAATAATCCCAGTGTTCAATTCCTTTGTCTCATAACAGTACTTATGTCAACAATTCTTTGGAATCTTTCTGAGAGCCGGTTTAATAATCAAAATCAATTTGAAACGCATGGAGTTAATACATTTAAATTTGGGATGCACTAAAAAACGGGAGGAATGTTTTTATTGATTTTAAAGAGATTCCAAATTCATTATTTTCCATCTCAGGTCCAGCGAATGCTCTTCCAACATCGGCTGTTCCTACGACTGAAGGCATATCGACGATCTTGACCTCTGGTGCTCCTTCAATCACGTCGCCGTTATCTGCAACTACAGCACAATCCACCATTGACACCACCACCCCCACCGCCACCACCATCGACACCACCACTCCGACCATTGACACCACCACCACCACCACCGCCACCACCATCGAAACCACCACTCCGACCATTGACACCACCACCACCGCCACCACCATCGACACCACCACTCCGACCATAGACACCACCACCACCGCCACCAACATCGACACCACCACTACGACCATTGACACCACTTACACTTCTAACACAACCACCAGCAGAACCACAAACACCATCGACACCACCACCAATACCAATAGTGTGACATTACGTCGAAAGAAATCACGTACTCGTACCAGCACAACCACCAACACTACCGCCAACAATACCACCAACACCACCACCACCACCACCGATAACCCCATCCGACGTCAGTCAGCATTGTTCTTCGTTCAAGAGGAACCCGACGGGAGCCACCTCCCTGGAAACTGTCTTTCGGGCCACACTCTGGAGAAGCATAAAGGTACCAGCAAGATCCAATGCGCTAGTCTCTGCTTAGCTCGGAAAGACTGTCGCTCTTTTAACTATCAAGGAAAATTCTGTTCCTTGAACAGTCGACAGAAACATCAAGTCCAATCGTCTTATTTTATTTATAGTCCAGGCTGTCAATATTATGATAAAGGTACTACCTAATATAGTAATAGGCCTATGCTAAAATTGATGTCAAATTGGTTTTCCTGGTTAATAAATTTGTACTAAGATGCACGGAAAGCTTTTCATCAATTTTTAAGAAAGTTGCAAGCGTTGGCAAATAAAAAGAAATTTTTAATTCCTATGACTTTAAAATCATTCAATATCCTCAAGTAGATTTCTTTCGACGAAATCTCATTCTATCTTAAAAATCTATATAATCTTGCTTTTCACAAGCTAAGGGACGCATTTTCATTGTATAGAATAACTTTGAAAAACAATATTAACTTGATGACTACAGTGTTTAAAAAAAAGTTGTTTCGATTCATCAAATAACAATGGCGGGGGAAGTAATAATTTGCTATTAATTCGGTTGTTCCGCTTTGAAGGTAGTGCATACCTTTTAAAGCAAACATCAAATTCTGTAGAACTTTGCAGGAATTATGAATATGTCACGTATGTCCTACCTGTGAAATTTAAACGTTAGCAGTATCCTAGTTATTGCAATTACGCAAGGAAACCCATTTACCTTCTAGACTTAAATGTCAGACACTATTGAGTGACTGACTGGCTTCTTTTTTCTTACATAAAATAAGCTGCATGCCCGTCATGCTCCCACACTACAAACTATCAAAACCATTCTCAAAACTGACCTATTTCGTTTGTAATTTATGACATTGCAATTAATTGATGTATTATAATTAAAATTGTTACTCTAATTATTTTTCCTAAATTGTTGCTTTCTGTATTAACTTTGCTCTTAATGAATTGATACTTTTAACTACAATTAAGGATTTTTTATTTCGTTCTTGTAACTAGTTAAATATACTTGTACATGCTTATGTTTTACTTTGTAAAGCGCGTAAAGAAACAACTTTGGTTATAATGCGCTTAATAAATAAATCTTTATTATTAATATAATTATGGGCTTTTGTCTATATCAATAACACACCTCTTGTAATGGCTAAAATCAAATTGATTGAATCTTTGCGTAGCACAAAACGTACGACCATTAGGTACAAGGGTCTGAAAATCAGACTATTTTTTTAAACGACCGCGATCACTAAATTTGATTCGACAACTAACGGTCGTCATTACACCACAAAAAAACATTTTCAAGCTCTTTGGTTTTGAGGGAAGTTCTATATGATTATGAGCATTATCTTTCAAATGCCGTTAGAATTTAACCTTTTCATTTTTTGGGCCTGCAAATGGGACGTAGTACCTTTAAGGCTATAATGTTGACAATAATTCCTCAACATAATTCTTTTGCCCAATCGACCTAATGTGTATTTGGTTGAGCCAAAATAAACACGACACAGAATACGTGTAGACACGACTCGATGATCCTCGCAATCTAAAATTTCGGAATGAATTTTATTCGTGTTTAAACTTGGTGAACATGACGAATGCAGGGGCGGATCTAGCTTTTTGCTAAGGGGGGGGGGGTTGACCAAAATAATGACGATGCGGAGCATCGTCCACGAGCCGCGAAGCGGCGAGCCGATTTTTTTTTGGGTGTTTATTTGAACCCCGTAAGTGATGTTTTCCTGGCATCTATTAACACAATGGAGACCATAAAAAGCAGTGCATGATAACGTCTTTTTAAATCAAGTAACAGTTAAATACACAGTTATATCCAGAGTTATCATGTGTTTGGTTAAGTTACCAGATGAGTTGAAAATCTTCTCACAATATTTGCACTTGAAAGGGTTTCTCTCCAGCGTGCGTTCTTTTTTCTTTCTTTTTTTTTTCACTTCGGCGGTGGCCCGTGTCCTCAAAAAAGCTGATGGGGGGGGGGGGGGGGCAAGGGACTCTGTGACATTTGTTCGCCCAACCCCCCCCCCCTCCCCCCAAAAGAAATAATAATAATAATAATAATAATAATAAATGAAATAAATACATAGAAATAGAATAAAATAAAATTACAAGTTTAAAAAAAAAGATAAGATTTAAAAAAATGGTCCCCGGATTTTTTTTTTTTGGGGGGGGTTGCAACCCCCCCAACCCCCCCTCTAGATCCGCTTCTGCGAATGGCGGTTGTCATATATTTGGTTTGCTGACTATTTTCGTGCAATTTCGGTGCAATTTTGTCGGTGTGTAATTACTATTTACTTTGCCAATATTAAATGACTACAGCAATAACAGAAACAACAACATCAACACCACCACCACCACCACCACCACCCCAACGCCACCATAATAATGATAAGAAGAAGAACAACATAAAAAAAAGAACAAGAATAAAGAAGAATAAGAAGGAGAAGTGTATATATATATATATATATATATATATATATATTATATATCTGTTTATCCAATACTTGAATTTCTGTTTATATAAGATTTGAATTCCTGTTTATCTAAGATTAAAGTTTAATTAAGTGTAGAAATAATATCTGTTGAACTGTTTTGTGTAATCTGCATATTCATTTTTGTCGCGCCTTGATCGGAAGTTTCAGATACGTGCGCGTTATAAATTCATATTATTATTATTATTATTATTATTAAGAACAAGAAAAGAAGATGAAGATGAACGACGACGACAACAATTGCAATAATATTGATGATAATAATAATGAAAATGAAAATGATGATGATGATGATGATAAAAATAATAATATAACAATGAAACGGATAACAATACGCTCTTTGATCATTTATAGATGACCTGTATTTCTTACATTGTCTACTCGATTCTTCCTCAACGATATGCGTTGAGTACTTAGTCATTATTATCTTAGGCGTGTACGGTGCCGTTCGTCTGTAAGTGAGAATACATAGAGCAGAAGGAACAGTCTCCACGTTTCGACCAAATATCTATTTCCCCAATTGGACAATGATAATATTTAGCAAAAATACAGATGAACCGTTTCCATGGAGAAATACGACTCCATTGGGGGCCAGCGGGGCGTTAACTAGTTTCATTAAATAGAGACTTAATGTCTTTCTGATTCTCAGTATAGATGAGATGAATTGGTATTAAACAGATGATCGTGTCCGGAACCCAGGCCCAGACGATGACTCTCGAGAACATAATCCCAACAATAGAACCTGTATCACGTTTATAATATATCCAATCAACTTTCCTTTTTTCCTTTTTTTTAGGTGGGGGGGGGGGGGGTAGATTGTGTTAATGTTAATACAGGTTTCTCTCAATAAAGAAAATTGAATACATTAATTGCTAAAATAAGATACAAAATAGTTTTAAAATTACATTACATAAGACTTAATACAATTATACTTATAACCTCATCAATAAAATTTATGACAGTGATGGCCTATATTTGATACATGTATAACAGCACTGTAAGTTCTACTTTCACAATGATTTCTTACAACATTCTTATGTTATTGTGTGAACAAATATATCGTACAACCATGTAGTCGTTAAAAGAGAAAAGAACATAAATCGTAACAGAAAATACTATCTAAAAAATTAATAAAATAAGACGAGAGATATATATGGTTCCCCCTTCTAACTTGTCTCACAAACTCCCCTTATCACCCCCTAACAAAAACATATATAGAAATTATACCTTACAAAGAACCGAACACACGTTTTAAATTGAACATAGTGTTAAACAACGCGCTGGTGGGTAGAATTGTCTAAATTTGCAATAAATATTACCTCAGAACACGTTGTTTGATTATTGTTTTTCTAAATTTTTTAATCATCGTCAATGTCATTCGGGCATATGCCCTTTCTTTACTTTCTAGTCTGCGTATTGACTACTGCTAGATTTCCTATTTTGAGTAGATATCGATTCCTGTCGTTCGTAACAAACAAGTCACCACCTTTATGTATAATTCAACGAATAAATCAACGTCAAACAATTGATTTTTCATCGCTCTATTATCAATTATTTCATCTATTGATTTACCTGCGTTTGCATTGAATGAACATTTAGTAGGTATCTTTAACGTTCGTTTTGATTAAGTTCCACCCCATTTATTACTCCCTGTTTAAAGCTAATAAATTCTTCAATTTGTCTTATTCATAGCCCAAGATCATATTCATATTTTCTTACTGTAAGAGAGAGAGAGAGAGAGAGAGAGAGAATCAGACAGAGAGAGAGACAGAAAGAATATATTAAGTGACAAATCTCGTTTAAAACCATGAATTATATCCTTTTTAATATGATTCAATTCGCTGCAAATATTCCGAATCTTAATGTGATAAATCCACATGATACACCAGAATTGTTAACCGCATCCTTCGCTCCAACCATAGCTCAATATACCCACACATCAGTTGCTCAAAATTGGAAAGTTTCCAAATGAGATTTGAATCAACAACAAAAATCAAATATACCATGCACTAAGAGGCTTCTGTTGAAATTATAAATTCTTTGTGACGGGCTTAGCACTGGCTTCTGAGGGACCAGTTACATTGGAAAGTTTCCAAAATGAGATTTGAATCACACACACACACACACACACACACACGCACCAAACGCACACACATACACACACACATACGCACGCAACCACACGCACACACCATTCGAAATCATAAGGTGGTATAACATTAACAAAGACTATCAGAAGACAAAATAACATATTTGATTAATTAAAAGTCAATTTTTGCAATCAACCAGTGTGTATTATGGAATAAACTACAAGATTAGACGATAATAACGACGATGTAATATAACGATTATTAACGGTCTTAGATTTTTTAATTACTTTTAGATATATATTTCAAAGAAGAGATATGATTAACGAGTTTTAATTATATATACACAACTGACCCTGTAAATTGATCAAAGTCAAATGTCGAAAACGTTTTCATTTGCTAAACAAATAAAGAAAGACAAACATAATACGCAAATTACATCCATGAACAGATATTGATAACTGCAATTTAGCTTTTGTCTCGCCATATACCGTGATCACTGTGCAATGTACCGATGTCCAGGACGAAACCTACAGGGAATTGTTCAAGCAATTTTCAAGAACTCAAAAAAATGGTTACACATTATTTCCTACATGTCTTATCAACCAATGGAAGGGAGATATAGAAAGACAGAGACAAAGACAGAGAGAGAGAGAGAGAGGGATATATATATATATATAGGGAGAGGGGAGAGAGAGGGGGAGGGAGAGAGAGAGAGAGAGAGAGAGAGAGAGTGTGAGAGAGGGAGGGGGAGAGGGAGAGAAAAGAGAGCGGGAGAGAGTGAGTGAGCGAGCTAGTAACGGGTATGCGACAACGTTTTACCGAGTACATTTTAATCGAGATAATCGATATTGGAGAGCAGAGAAGGCATCATTGCCATGACCATGTTCGGTCCAATATTCCAGCGGCCTTTGCTCATCAAGTTGTGAAGCACTATTAGTATTTCGGCACCCGTGAATTCATCTTTCGTCCCCATGATCTGGAAACCTGGAAAGATCATCGTACTTTGGAAAGCCGGTTGCATTCAGTACTGAGAGTTAAGGAACGTCACATAAAGAACAGTTTAATAGGACAAAGCTCACTTTGCAACTCAAATAATTAAGGACAATGTAAACAATATTTTTGTTTATAATTCCTTTTTTTTTTCAACGAAATTTCGCAGTGGATATTCATTTAGAAAATAATCGCTAGAATTCAAGAGTGATTCACTTCAGAAATGGTTCATTCCCAAAACCAACGGTTATCATCATGCTATCGAGACAAATGATATATTAGCTGACCAAAATTGTCTGATACGCCGTCTGAAGGCAAAATAGATAAATAAATGATTACAAAATACAAGGTTATTCTTTTTTAGCGTTCGAATTTATGTACGTTTGACGGTTAAAGAGGCTTGATCATCACTCGTTCGAATTGAAACCATGATGTTGAGAAGCTTTCTAGTCTCGTTCCTACTCTCCTGGATTTCCAGACAAGGAGAAGGTGAGTTTCATATCACTTGATATTGATAGTAGAGGACTGGTCATACTAGTAGTCGAATGGTTTTTATAGAGGGAGCTGACACGATGTGGCATTGGTTCGAGATCTGACATAGTACTAATCCCGTTTTGCGAGCAGTACGATCGCAAAGACTTTAAAGGCCCACTGCACTACTTGTAGCTACTTGCGCCCTCTATATAACAAGCAATGCCTAATCGGTGACCATTGGTCCCCCATGATCCTCTTTTTCTTACGTTAACTGAGAGCTGAGTTGATGAGATAACCACCTGTCCAGTGACCTTGCAGGGCAGTCTAATCCCTCCTGTAAACTATGGCAGATAAGCTTTAAAGGAAAAAGTAGACTTTTATATAAACCCTTGTACTTCAACTTGATTGGGACTGGAAATACCATGGTAAAGGACTACTGGTCCAGTTGTTTTATAACTGTGGTCATTATCTTTGTTATCTTCATCTGAATTCAATGGCCCTAAATTCCTTGGTGGATACGAGCAGGGTCTTTATTCCGCCCAGTTGCCATTCATTTACATTTTTTTTAAAGGCGGGTTTTTTAGCGGTAGTTTACCGAGCGTCATATCTAAACGAGCTGTAAATGTTTTAAAGTTATTCCATCGATATAAAGAGCTCTATATATCAACATCTTCATTCTGCACAAATGACCGATTGCAAAAAGGGGCAGAAAATGAACTTTCTGGAAATGTGATTTTCTCTTTGAAATTCAAATACCGTTCGCCAAATGACTTTTTGGTACCTTTTCTTCAAATTGTTTGTAATCAGTCATGCGTGAAATATGCTTCATATGAGTTGCATCAAATGAAAGGAGAGGATCTAAGCTTTACAAATATGTTTAATTTATTAATTATAATTGTGATTAAGATATGATAAAACATCGATAATTCTTGGTTTCGTTTTTTCTGGGACGCACTGTATAATATACACCAAAAAAGATCGCGAAAGCTAGCCCCCAAATTCAACCTAGAGCAATTTCAGTTGTCAGTGCGTCACCTTTTGACATTTTTCCACGTGATCATGATGATAATGACGTATTGCATAATCCGAACATAATTTCTATGACATATACAATGGGTATGATAGGGGATTAAAATTTCCGTTGACTTGATTTCTCGAAAGTTCTTGAGACTGTGCTAAAAAGTGAATGCTTATCATATTATCCTTACATTAATTTATAGGCACAGGCGAAGTCACGTGTTCAGAGCCATGGTATCCGCTCCATGGTAATTCATGCTATGGAATTTACCACTACCGTGATAGGTATTCATATCCACAGGCACTGGCATTATGTGAGTTTCATGATGCGCAAGTCTATGTACCAAATTCGGACAGTGAATATAATGCCGTCTCCGTCTACCTAGCTTCCAAATCACATCAACTTACAAGCAGGTATGTGTGGATCGGGTGTGACGAGATCGCGGACGATGGCGTGTTCCAGTGCCTTGATGGAACCCAGCTCGACATCGAGAGTGGTGAGTAACTAATAATTGAGCCCAGTCAACCGTTTCACTGTAAAAATATTAACAAACAAACACCCCTCCCAAAGAAAAGGATATTACTTCAACATTTCAACACTTTTTGTGAGTGCATGTGTACCACCGAATCCACTGACAGCACCTCCTATAACAACGCTGCATCATCCGACACGGCACCCTCTAGCGAGCGCACCACCGAGGGAGGGGGGAAGGGGTTGCATGAAGCACCCCTTTAACGAGTTGGGGGTGAAAATAGTGGTGCTGTTCTAACGTTTATGGACATTTTATACAGTGGCGGAACCAGGATTCGGGAGGGGGGGGGGGGGCACAAGTCTTAACACTTCCAAGCTAGCAAAATGTGCTTGTAAATGAAAACAGATGGTTTTGCATTGCATTCACATCCCGGTATTGCAGTTAATAAATATTAAGCAGTGGTTAAGCACAAAACGAGATATGATAAATTTGTAACCATGGTATTCACATATCGTATGAATGAAGCCAAAGACTTCTAGAACAAATACCTTATACAGTACATTAATGTTAACTAAGTCACATAAGTTCAAGTAATAAATTGTGTAGACGTCTATAAAGGGATTCAAGATTTTATTTTCTCTGTTGCATTACATCATCAAGGAGCTAATGATACCTGTATATGCTTTGAACGATATTCAGGAGGGTGGGGTGCATTGTGCACTAATTAAATGTTCCAAATGATACCCCCTCCAAATACCCCCCCCCCCTAAAAAAAAATTTAAAGCTAAAATTAGTTGGAGAGAGCAGGTTCCATGAAGGGCGGTCCCATTCGAAGAGAGGGCAATATGCCCTGCAAAAGGTAACCATGATTTTCCTGTGAGAAGCCCCCCCCCCCCCCCTCAAAAAAAAAGAAAAGAAATCCACAACGACAAACAAACAAAGACAAATAATAATGATAAATAAAATAAGTTGGGTTTCACGGGCCGGTTGCGCCCTTCCCTAAATACCCAGTATGCAATGATTCGGTTTCTTTTGAATTTGTACTGATGCAAACAAACGCTTCGAACTACCTTGCGAGTGTTGTTCATTTAGACATGAAACTGTATCTTGATTTGTTTTAGATTGGTGGGGTAACTCTTTCCCGTTGGCAGGGGGTACATATAGATGCGTTGATATTGATGTGGTCGCCTCCCCGTACAGAATATACGATATTTCATGCGGGAATTGGAACATCGTTTTCTGTGAAGGTAAGATACCCGGGTTTTTTTTTATTCTTTCTAGTAAGGTGGCATAATTTAATTTTAGGGCAAGTCAAATGTACTTGGCATTTTGGCATTTCAAATATTACCAAGTATTGTGAAGATGTGAACTAGATATTGCCATCAAAAGTGTATCTTTAACCCTTATGTGGTTTGATCTCAGCTCCAGTCATGCTAGCAGGGCTATGTATAAATTATCCTAATCTCAATTATCTTTGGTAACATTTGGGACGAACTATGTTGGAATTTCCTTGTAACCTTTAATTTATCATTGGTGGAGTCGTTTGTTTGCCACACGTGTCGATCGCCACGAAAAATGGCTTTCATTGCTGTGGAATTAATATCTTACTTCGGTATGAAATAACACGAGTGTAAGATTTTTTTCTTCATTTTTTATTGTATTTAACCGCCTTTAATTCCCCCAATCTCGCTTAATCTTTGTCTTTATTTTGTCATCTTCGCAGAGGGATATAGGGCACTTTCTCCGCTGTCAGTATTCCGAACTCACCAAAGACCTCAGCCCATGACTAAACACTTAACCAATTAAACCCTAACCCTAACCCTAACACAAACCCAACTACAATCCAAATCCCAATCCTCTATGTTTGACGTAATTAAGCTTGGAGCAATAGTCGTCGGCGCATACGTCGGCTTTCATCCCTATTATGTCATGTTTCATCTCAAATGATATAGATTTTCACCATCCGTGTATCTTACAGTGATAATAGTGGCAAGGTGAATATGCTCTATACATTATTATTCTATTATCATCCCCAGCCAAACCTCTTCTGTCAACATCCGTTCCTACACAAGGGCAAGTGACCACCTCCTCCTCCTCAGCCACGCCTATCTCCCTGACCAGCATTGCTCCAATGTTACCCACAAATACGGCTAAATTCACTGACGACACCACAATCAACGCAGCCACCCCCAGCAGTACCATCACCACGATCACCGATACTGCCACATCAGCAGCCATTAATACGAACACTGACAACGATAATGCCCTCACTACCACAACCACGATGACTACCACCGATACTACCACATCGGGTGCCACCAATACCAACACAGTCAACGCTAATGCCATCACTACCACCATCACGACTACCACCGATACCATCACAGCGGGTGCCACCAATACCGACACAGTCAACAGCGTTAACGCCACCACCATCCCCACGACCACCTCCACCACCACCATTGCCACTGATTCTACCACACCAGATACCACAAGTACCGACAGCGTTAACGCCACCACCACCACCACCACCACCACCACCACTACCACGACTATCACCGATACTACTACATCGGGTGCCACTAATACCAACACAGTCAACGCTAATGCCATTACTACCAGCACCACTACCACAGATACTACCACATCGGGTGCCACCAATACCAACACAGTCAACGCTAACGCCATCACTACCACCAGCACGACTACCACCAATACTATCAGGTCGGATGCCACAAATACCGACAAAGTCAACAATGTTAACGCCACCACCATCCCAACCAACACCACCAACATTAACACTGATTCTACTATATTAGATACCTCAAATACCGAAAGCGTTAACGCCATCAATACCATCACCGCGACTATCACCGAAACTACCACATCGGGTGCCAACAATATCAACACAGTCAACACAAATGCCATCACTCCAACCACCACCACGACTACAGATAGTACCACATCGGGTGTCACCAATACCAACACAGTCAACGCCAACGCCATCACTACCACCACATATACCAATCGTGGTACCTCTCCATGTGGTATCGGCCCTGGATGTTCACTCAATTTCAAAATGTTTACTCACGACTGTTCTGAAATCTACGGGAAAAATGAGGTTTATTTTCCGGCCATTCGTGTTTATTTCGAGGATCGTGACAACATAGAATTAGGGAATGTTTGTGACAAGATACGCAGTATCCAAAAAACAGGGGCGTTGTGTTATAAACTAAATCGGCGCTTTCACAAGATCGGTGTGCTTTGGGGAAGTAGGTTGTCGAGTCTCAATTGAGACTCCTTCAAACGATGAAATAGGTTTTATTGATAAAAAATGCTCCTTGATGATGTTAACATCCACATTTTCCTTGTTTTCACTCATGTGGATGCAGCGAGGGAAGGGGTTGGTTTCATTGCGTAAAATTGTCCTCCTTTCTTAAACAGCGCAGGTCATTTTAAAATCTATAACAGTCATGCTTTCTTTTTACAGCATGACTTCCCAAGGCTTTCAATCGCGCGTCGGGAACCTTTTCAATCTCGAGCAGAGGATTTCAGGGGGAACCCCCTTCACGAATACTGTCTCATAGACCACACCCTAGAGTAACATGAGAGGAACTGTTTGATCCAAGGCAAGGGCCTCTGTTCTCCTCTAAATAACTCTCGATCTTTTAACATCTTTATAAGCATTTCAAATGAGTACCTATTGAGAATATCGATGTATCGAATTGACTTATAATATATACATGCGTGTATATTTAGTTTCAGTTAGTTTCATGTGAAATTACCAAAAGAATTCTTCGTGTATAACTTGTATCATATATCATGCATAAACATGTACATGTAGTATGTTCAATTGCTCTGATATATTTTCTAGTAATCTTTTCGTTGCTGTTTTGTAATTTGTAAAATATTTCTTCTCTGTATTTGATTTTGTTATTGTAATTATAATGTGTGTCACATGACTTTATGAATTACCGAGCTTTGAAATAAGTAATGAATGAAAACATCCAAGTAGTCCATTCTTCGTTGCTCTCAGTTGGTTAAAAGAAAAGACTCAAAGTGTAATTTTTGAGTATTTGTGGAAGGCGTATTCATATCAGTTTATGTATATTTTTGGAAATATAATGCTCTTCTGAGTTTGATAAAAAGATGTTACCAACCAGATCTAATACTTCAGTGTATCTGATGACTGTATCAAACTGTTAGCTCTTCTAGAGCTTGATCAGACAAAAAATCAAATAGATTTGTATTTCTATGTCAATCGAAGTCCACAATTCCATCATACAATTCAATAGTTCTTGGTAACGTATGTGACATACATTGGGCTTGCCCATGTTTCTTTCCCCCTTTCTTTCTTAGGTGGGGCAGTGTACTTACACTCCCTTCTCAAACATTACTTTAATTTATTTCATTAAAAGAACATGTTTTGGGTTAAACAATATAAAATGTATAATTTTATTATCTGACTTTTTAAATTTAACTTTGATAAATGCAAGTAGATCAATGCAATAATTATTAATGTTATTTCAATAAATGTAATTTAATAAATGTAATTTCATGTTTTCAAGCCGGGTTTTACATCACGTATTCATGAAGATCATACATAACAATATTTAATAATTGTATTTTATCGATTTATTTTGTATATATATACTTTATGTAAATGTTACAGTTTAATCATTTAGTTTCAATTTTTTAATGATCAATAATAATTTTTCTCTTAATACATTATCAAAATGTCCTGCACCGACTCTCAAACTGTATATCTGATCTTACACCCTTTGATTTTCTATATATTTCATATCCAAGTATGCAAACCGAACTCAATATTATTATTGTTTTCATTATTTATGATTTATTTACTATGTACTGTTTATATCTGGATTCATTTAAATGTGTTAAAGCATATAATTATATTTTTATGCCTATGGAATTATTTTTACCTTGTAAATTCACTTGCATCAGCCTCCAGCTGTATTGTTGAATATTCGAATAAAACCTTATTAAAAAATAATCGAACGCACTCACGCACACACACACACACACAAGCACCCACACATTAACGATAGTTGGTGGCCTCTCCGTAATAGACATTTATCACAACATTTACCCCCACCCACAAACGCACAACTCAACACAGCTAGCACTTATTGCGAATCCATAATCTCTAAAGACATTAACGGAATCTACAGGATATGGCAAAAAAATCGTTTAAACCATGAACTTATTTGTCTTTGATTAGCCTTTAATCACGTCGACCCCATGATCGATCCTCGAAACAAGCGGAATAGTTCTCTGACAGCCGCAGCTGAATGCACGCGAAAACGACACACAGACACACACACGCAGCTTGTTGCACGCCGCCTTAAAGGTAAAGACCAGTATTGGAAACGCCCCAATTTCAAAAAATGAAATGGAAGCTCTTATTACCAATTATGTGATAAGTATGTTTTGACTAATACACGATGATAACAATTTTGCCGGGAAAAACCCGCCTACTAATTGATATATTTGGTAAATTAGTTTATATATTGGTGTGTGAGAGATAAACGCGCGTGTCACGCACGTGTGCGTAGTCCCATATACATCTTTCTGTGTACAGTGCTTATAACTTTACGAAGACTGGGCCAAATTTCTTATCATTTTGATGATTCCAGAACCTTGCAGTACACACCAATACTTATATGCCAGATGATCAACCTTTTCTGATCGATTCCACAACGTTTCTTTCACAATGCAATCGCATGTCCATAACTGGTCTTTATCTTTAACCAACTGCCAAACGGTATAGTAGTTCTGTTGTCTTTTTAGAAATTGATATTTTTCTTCATTTCCCTACGTATTATTAAAATGAATAATTCAGCCCTTGAAAATAGAAACAATGAGAAACACGATCGCACAGAGAAGCTCTGAATAATAGACGAGCACGATCTTTTACATTGCGGCTCCTTTTATTTAATTGTTTAAAGTAAACGGGTTGTACTGCCGTATTTGGTGAGGTTGTGAATGATTAACAACCTCTTGATCGTCTTGAATATATGAATATTAATATTGTTCGGCAGTGATTAAAGGCGCCTGTACGTGTGTGTCAGCTTTCGTGCTATTAGAGGACTTTTTCCAGAGGCGGCGCTTCCGGGGGTGGGCAGGAGTGCACAATGCCTCTACTTTTTAAAGTACCCCATTAACTTTGTAAGAAGTGCCCCTTTTACATAGGAAAAGTTCCGCTTTTAGTTTAACAAGTGTACCTATTACTTTGTAAAAATGCCCCTTTCCCCGTTTCACCTCTGGTAAATGCCCCTTTTATTTTGACACGTGCCCTTTTTCCTTCCTTTAAAATAGGTGTCTATTCTACATTCTCGAAAGTGCCCTTTTGAATCTTTAGTAAGTGCCGCTTTTCAGGTATGAGAAGTGCCCCTTTACCTCTGATAACTGCCCTATTATCATCTGAGAGGTGACCGTTTTACTTTCACAAGTGCCCCTTTTCCTTTGTAAGGAGAGCCCCTTCCCCTTTCAATAATTATCCCTTTTTAACTCAGACCTTCTTTTTTAACATTTGCCTCTTTTTTTATATATAAATTAGAGCCACTGCCTCCCTTCACATACAAGCCCCCTTTCACCCTTTCACAATTTTGTTGGGACTCTCGGTCTGTGCCTGATTTAGTGATTGCACAACTCGAGAGTCCTCTATTGATACTTTTGTTGTTATTGTTGATATGTCCTTTTTGCAATATTTAGTGATAATAATTTCGTTATTTGATATTCTAAGTTATGTAATTTATTTATGTTTTCGTTGCTGCTATTTTATTATGTATATTTAATTTTTTTTTTTTACTTTGTACCCAAGACAGGTGTCAGTCTTCGAACTATTTGCTCTTGGTATTTGATTTGTTTCGATTTCAATAAATCCTACTATATAACCTCTGATAAATGCCCCTATTAATATCTGATCGTTGCCCCTTTTTCTTTCAACAAATCCACATCTTCCTTTATTATTAGTGCCCCTTTTCCATTCTAATAAGTGCCCCTTTTCAGGTACGGCAAGTGCCCCTTTTTAGGTACGACAAGTGCCTCTTTTCACCTTTGATAATGTCCCTACGTGCCCCTTTTTACTTTCTAATTAGGGACCTATCATATTAATGCCTCTTTTCATCTCTTATAAATGCCCCTATAAAAAATCTGATGGGTGCCAATTTTCCGTCGAGAATTGCCCATTTCCCATTCTCATAAGTGCACTTTTTCATTCCTGGTGAGTGCCTCTTTTCAGGTGTAAGAAGTGCCCTATTTTAACCTCTGATAATTACCCTTTGTACTAAGTGTCTCATCCTTTTCGATAAGTGTGCCCTTGTCCTCTTATCATCAAACGTGCCCCTAAATTAAAGCGACTAAGAGCAATTTCCCCCGCACCTCGTTCGCTTCGCTCGCTCGCGTTTATAGCTGATATCATTATGTTACTTACCAAAGGCCTTTTCGGCCTTTCGTTGTGAGAATGTGCTTATTACCCCATCAGGATAGGGTGTTTTCCTCTTTTAAAGATGTAATTTTTCGTAATGTGATCTCACAAATCTTAAAATGTGTCCTCGCTCGCTTCGCTCGCTCAAATATAAATATTCAGACTGTCACACCCAACTGCAAAGTATGATGCCTAAGTAATATCTTGTATGATTTATGAGAGAAACAAATAATAAAGTCATCCCTGATAATGTTATCACAATGTAGGGGTATATATCAAAGTAAACAAATAGTATATTTTCTCTTTGAGATTTCCCTTTGTAGGTCCCCCTTTTCCTAGAAAGTGCCCTCGCAAATGAATATTCAGATCATCACATCCAACTGCAAAGTATGATTCCTAAGTAATATCTTGTATGATGTATAAAGAGAAAGAAATATTGAAATCATCCCTGATAATGTAATGACAATGTAGGGGTTATATACCAATGGCAAAAAAATTGAATATTTTCGCTTTGAGATTTCCCTTTGTAGGTGCCCTTCCCCCCAGGAAAGCGCCCTCTTTTGTTGCCCCCCCACCCACTTTGGAACTCGTCCTGCC